TTTTTTCTACCCAAATTAGAAAGTAAACAAAGAATAAAAACAAATATAAAAATTTTTATTATATACTTAACGTACGAAAAAAAAAACCAATGAAAAATAATGAGTACCTACTTCTTTTAGATCAGTCTGAATCAGATAATTCAAAATCGTAGTGTTTGGCATATGCATGTTCTTTTTATGATGCCCTATTAATTCTTTGTTTTATTTTAAATAAAAACAATGATTATCTTGATGTTTTTTTTATGAAGCCAACCTACAGTAGTGGATGCTTATTACGCTGCTTTTACTGCAGAAAATTTACTAGAGAAAATATTCTTTAACCATTTGCTGAAGAATGAGGCAAACTTAATATATAATTAAATTTATTTTTATTTAACCAGAAAAATTGTCTGAATTTGTCTTCGTTTAGAGCTAAATAAGTGTTTATTAACACAGAATAAATTCCTTCTGTACTTCTATTTTTATACATTGAATTCATTGGTCGCCTTTTTTTATATAGAAAATACAACAAGTTGTCATTATCCTCTTCCTCCTCGAGTAACATTTTTAATATTCGTCTTTTGATCATTTTTTTAGAAATAACTCCTAATAATATGTTTCCACAAAAACCACTCTCTCCGAACTGAATAATGATACAAGTTCTATCGATCTGTCGGCCAGAGTTGCCAGATGAAAATTAGTGAAAATAAAAAACAACAGACCATTGAACCGTAACAGTAGATTTTAGTACAGGTGGAAATAATTATAATTTACAGTGTAGTAAATAAAAAAAAAAACAAATAATTATATAAGAAACGAAAAATAAATTTTTATTATATACTTAACGTCAGGAAACAAAAAAAAACTAATGAAAAATAATAGGTATTTCTTTCAGATCAGTCTGAATCAAATAATTCAAATACGTACATGCATATTCTTTTTATGTTGTCCTATTAATTCTTTGTTGCAGTTTAAATAAAAACAAACCTACAATAGTGGCTGCTTATTACGCTGCTTTTACTGAAGAAAATTTACTAGAGAAAATATTCTTTTACCATTTGCTGAAGAATGAGGCAAACTTGATAAATAAAGAACGAAATTTGCTAGAGACAAAAACAGTGGATCTACGTGAAAACAGTAGGTCTGGCAAAGCTGATCGTTCCCTCGAATGGTTATCCTGTAAGTGTCGCGCGACACTTCTCAAGCTTGCGAAATGTACCAAGCGTAACATTTATGCATCTGTCGTCCTACTCGACCTTGGGGTCGCCTCAGTGGTCGCTTGTCTCTTGACGCGCCTACCCAAATGGTACCTTAATGGAAGTTTATTGTATGAATGTGATGCACGCTATATAATTTATTACAAAGCTATTTACAAAAACGAACACAAATAGAATTAATAATATCTCAAGTAAGGAAATAAGTAGCATATCGCATGCCTCAAGATACTGTCTTAGGTCCTATCTTGTTTAATTTTATATAAATAAATGTCGATTAAATACAGATGGAAATATTGTAAGTTTTTCAGTCGACACAGTTATTCTGTAAAATGCAGAAAAGTGGAATTGATTAAAATTGTTAATAGAAATAGATCCTATAAAAATTTTCGAATGGTTTAATTATAAAAAATTACAAACCTTTTATAAAACTTATGTTGTTCCATTATACAGTTACAAAAAGATGGCCTCTTCCTATAAAAACAATAAAAGGTAATGTTCAGTAGTTTCATATAAGTTTGCAAATGATATCAAATACCTTAGAGTAAAAATTGACTCTCATCATAACTGGACTAAGCATACAAATAATACGTATGTACATTTAAAAATCTATTTTGTACTCATAGAATCATTATTACGTTATAGGATCTTTTCTTGGAAAGGTGTTTTACCTACTTATGCAAAATTGTCTTGAAAAAAATATTATGTAATAAAATGATCAGAAATTCTCTTCAATATTAGGAAGTTTTATATGTACTCCAACAAAAACATCTAAGAAAGAAATATCACAGCGGTGTTTGACCTAAATATAAGTATGGGATATTTTTTTTAACGCATATCTACAGAACATATTTATTTTTCAAACCTTAATAATTTGTAAAATGTAGATTAATAAAGACATTGTCATAATAAAGACGTAAAAAGTCAATTTTTTTTTTAATACTTTATTGCTTTGATTTCTCAAATGAAATCCCTCTATAAATTATCCCCAAAATATTTTCCTATATTTATCCCACCCAACATGCAATTTTAAAGTAAAATTTATTTACATAATGAAGGTTAATAAAAAAAAATGCAAACTTCTCGCAAGAAAATAGCAATTCGTTAAAATGAGAGAAATCGGTAAATTTAGATAATATGATAATGAGAATTTAATATATTCTTTTCTACGCCCCTTTATGACAGTACGTCACTGGTAGACCGGAAACACTTGTCGCCATATTCGTCTAGTTCACTGTTAAAATTAGATACATCGCGATTCCAAGCTCGTTTAGGATTCCTCCTTCCTGACAATATATATTCTAAGCTCTAAGCACTTATCGGTGGCTCCATCTTGGGATGTTTTTACAAAGCTTATTATAAAGATTGGCTCTGATCACTTTTGTCAGGACTAGGAGGCAAATCGGCATGCTCAAAATACGGTCACAAAAATCGCATGTCAATTGAGATTTTATAATTAACCGCATGGGTGCTGGTACGGTTTACGTAGTTTAAAATACATGGCTTCTTATGGGAATTATACATAATTTTGTCAAAATAATAAAAATAAACTTGTTTATAGCTAAATAAAGCACATAACATACTGTTGTATTTATTTCTAAATGAGTCTTACATATTTTAATTGATACATTATTTACTATTTATTCCTATTTAAGTAAAATGCAAATTATTGATGATAAGTGTTGAAATTTTATGGGTAGGGCTAATTATTTTTTAATTAAAGCTAAATAAGGCTGAGGGCATACTAAGACATGGTTTAAATGAAAATGTTTAGTCAGGGATTTTACAAAATTTTATGAAAATAATAAAAATCAAATTGTTTATTCTAACTAAAGTACAGAAAATACTGTTGGTATTAATTATAAATGAGTCTCGATGTTAAACATTATTTACTATTCATTATTTAATTTTATCTAAATAAAATGAAAATTAGGTATGACCAAATTTGAAAAGGTTTGTTAAATGGTGAAATTTGGTAAGAACAGTTTTGTGTTAATTTTGTATTCGACAACTACAATTTCATCATCCTGGTAAATAGTTTCTTCAGCAATAGGTTCTAGTATTTTCTTGCTTTTTTTTATTCTAACAAATTCAGTTCGGTTCAATGGTGGTTTCGTCTTTTCCTAATACTGGACAAGTATGAAGGGAGATTCGGGCATATACATGGTATTGCTTCATTTAATCTCGGCTTTTCCCTTTTTATTTTGTTAACAGTACCATTAGTTAAAATAGTCTCATCAAATTTTAAAATATTATCTTCTAAAAAGTGTAGCTCGCAAACAGAATCATAACTAGACAGTACTTTATCAGCCCTAGGAATCACATGCTTCCATTGCTCTAAACGTTTAGGATCCTATAAAAAATATTTGCAATGACTAAATTGGAGTTCAATAAAGAAAAATAACAGTAGTAACTCTTCATCTAACATCAAAAAATATAAAAAAAGCAAATTTTCTTTTCTAGTAAGTTAAATTTAATGTGTAATTATTTTTGTTTGTAAGTCAGGATTTATGACTTTATTATTTTTTATTATAGAATATTGTAATTAAATAAACTACAATTCGTAAGATACGGGTTGTGACTATTTTACAATAAATATATATTATTTAGAAATAAATACATTATTTTACTTACACTAGGAGCTTTAAAAAACTTGGATTTTTATCTCCTTGTGTTTTCTTTAATTTTATATCGGATTTATATCCCGTTTTTCAACCCGCAACGAAGCAAATCCTGCTTTGACGTTTTTTGTTACTCATTGTTACTTGTAGTCAGGTTCTTTATTTCAGCTTATTTTTATTCTTTTTACTAAATTTTACAAAAACTCCCATTGACTTGCATAGAAAATAGACGTCGTTATTTTGCCACCCGCCAACTACAGTAGTTTTTTGGAACTTTATAAAAATAAGGACGGAAATTTGAAATTCGACCAAGGCCGATTCGCCTCCTTATATCTAGTCTTCATAGTCAGGACATAAACAGTGGAACATAGCAACGTTTTATGAGACTAATCCAAAATCAAAAATTTTGGACTTATTCCCTTTGTTACTTCTACTCTTCAATTTAAAAATTAGTTATTTTTTCTTAATAACCTAAAATAATTTTTAAATTTGTAGATTTTCATAAGTGGACCATAGAAAAAATATACTGTACAACTCGAGTGGATTGTTCATATCGCACTCAAACGAATTGGCAGTCAGCCTACAGTGTGGTACTCAAACTGCGTCTTCGTTGCACAAACTACTATTTTTACATATGGTTTTTATACAAATTGCACAATTCAAGAACTAACCTTTTTTAATTTGTTACAACTTCATTATCGACTAACGTTCGAAAACTGTGAGTTTAAATAAATAGCCGTTAATGAACCAACCAGGTCAAGGGATTAATATACAATACCTTAACTTTCAAATAACTTTTCTCGAAACAACATTTTCTAAATTGGCTAACAATTTTATTATGGTATGTTTAAACGAAATTTCTTTATTTTAGAACAGGAGAAGAATTATTAGTAATTTTATCTTAATACTTTCTAAATTAATTTAAATTTTCTTGTAGATTTGCTCATGTAAATCGTATAAAAAATATACTCTACAACTCAACTTTTGCCGCACAAGCTACTATTTCGGTAAATAACAAAACCTATTTATTTTAAGTTTCATAAGTAATGCACTTATCTATAAATTTGTAGCCATATTTTTATCAGTATAAAACTTTAAATCTAAACGAAATATTTTTGAGATATGCACGTGCGATCGGTATACATAATTTCATTTTTTGTTTGTTTTGAAACTCATTTGCCTTGAAATAAAATGTAGTTTATTTTTGTTTTAAAATCGACATCCCAATATTTTTTTATTTCTTATCTATGATATATAAAAGATGTCAGAAATATTTTAATATTTATTGTGAAACGAAATTTAAATGTATTTGTCTTATTTTTGAAGTAGGTATTCTTATTTGATCGATATTTTTGTTTGTTTAACTTAGTTGACTAGAGTTTGTATGACAGAATAAAAATGGTGTTTGATATAAATGGCAAAGTAGCTCTTATTACGGGAGGTGCTAGTGGAGTTGGTCTGGAATATGCTAAAGCTTTATTAAGAAACGGCTTAAAGGTATGTTTTCCTTAAAAATAACTGTTTTTTATTTACTCAGCTTTTCAACCTTGGGAGTACAGGATCTCGCAAAGAGGCTTGGGTTCTAGCCATCCCTATCTCTAGGGTTGAAACATGACGACACTGTAATCCCATGGGCTTATTGTGCCATCATTTAGGTGTTCTACTTCTTCCCTTCTTTCCAGCTCATACATTTTACAGTCTAGATGGGTCTACAAGCCTAATCACCCATCCAAATGCTGACCGGGCCCACGAATATCAACTGTTATCGATGTTTCAATACCTTTCATAGTTAGATAGCGATCCGTTTTCAATCACTACTATCCATTTATTTTTTAATTTAATTTCGTATTCTACCATAATTTAATTTCAAAATAACCTCTCTTTGACTAAAAAAGGATTATCTAAATCAAAACATTTATTCTCACTCCTTGAAATCATCACCGATCGGAGATAGCTTCTAGTTCAAATTTTTGTAACCATGATTTCTATGTCATGCGACACTAATTTTTACTAATCGGCAGTGGCATATTAACATCTAAAGGTGCTCAAAGCCTGATTGTTTTCTACCGCTCCCACACAAGTTGACATACACAGAAAAAAAAACAGCAAAATTTATTTATGATGCATCGAAAATACGAAACACAATAAACGTGTTGCACTTTAACCAACTATTTTTTTTAAGTTTTCGGGAAAATAATGTTTTTATGCAGTATTTGTTTTCATCTGTGTAAGTTCTTGATGCCGAGAAGTCCCTATTATTATTTTGAATTGGGCAATACTTAGCAAATTTATTTATTAGAGCATCATCAATGACCCAGTTAACAAAATCACTTAAATCTAGAGATCGGCGTTCACTATCCTAAAATATTACAAAAAATTTTTTCTCAATAAATTAAAATTTACTTACATACACAAAACATATCTTTCCTTATGGATGGGGGGCCAGCTCACAGCGTAATAGGGCTCTTCTTATCATACAGCTCTCTTTATCGAACATAAACATTTACCTACAGACACAAGGTTTACTGTGGCGTTAAACAAGTAATAGTTAAAAACTATTCGAAACAATAAACTTGTGCTCAGCTTATAGGGGTCGCAAAAAAAATAAATACCATCATTTTTTTAGGGTAAGTTGGAGACTGTCTCTGACTATCCGACCAAAATATTGCACTCGAACTTCTGTTATGAATTGTTCTAGAATGGTGGTTTCCCAAACATTTTTTAGAGAAAAATAGTAGCTTGTAATAAAAGTTGTAGAAGATCAAATTATAAACAAATGTCTTTTATAAAAAAAAATTGTATATTTAATACTTAACGAGTTACAACAATTTATATGACAAAAATTTCGTACGGTGGTTTCAAATCTCATCAGAATTATCATCTTCACTTGACGTGTCACTCAGGTTTATAATGCAAGAATGAGCCGGAAATAGTCGATTGGACAACAATTCTTGAGATATACCTCCAACAACTTCTTTATTACCATCTAAAAAAACGCTTTTAGACAACGCAGTATAGACATTTTTTTTTATGACCTTCCTTTTTGATGTTACTCCAAATTAATTATATTGCATTAAATATACATAAATACGGTGGTAAGCGAATTACGGTATGACCGAATGCCGTAGTCATCTCATCCACAACATGGCTAGGTTTGAGATTCAAGCCTTTTTAATATTGCAAGCAAATCTTTTTAAAGCTGTAGGTGATTATGATACACCCATTCTGTCCAAAAACTCTTTTCCAGATTTTGCTTTTGGAATTTCACTCCTCCTCCTCCTCCTCCTCCTCCTCCTCCTCCTCCTCCCCTCCTCCCTCCTCCTCCTCCTCCTCCTCCTCCTCCTCCTCCTCCTCCTCCTCCTCCTCCTCCTCCTCCTCCTCCTCCTCCTCCTCCTCCTCCTCCTCCTCCTCCTCCTCCTCCTCCTCCTCCTCCTCCTCCTCCTCCTCCTCCTCCTCCTCCTCCTCCTCCTCCTCCTCCTCCTCCTCCTCCTCCTCCTCCTCCTCCTCCTCCTCCTCCTCCTCCTCCTCCTCCTCCTCCTCCTCCTCCTCCTCCTCCTCCTCCTCCTCCTCCTCCTCCTCCTCCTCCTCCTCCTCCTCCTCCTCCTCCTCCTCCTCCTCCTCCTCCTCCTCCTCCTCCTCCTCCTCCTCCTCCTCCTCCTCCTCCTCCTCCTCCTCCTCCTCCTCCTCCTCCTCCTCCTCCTCCTCCTCCTCCTCCTCCTCCTCCTCCTCCTCCTCCTCCTCCTCCTCCTCCTCCTCCTCCTCCTCCTCCTCCTCCTCCTCCTCCTCCTCCTCCTCCTCCTCCTCCTCCTCCTCCTCCTCCTCCTCCTCCTCCTCCTCCTCCTCCTCCTCCTCCTCCTCCTCCTCCTCCTCCTCCTCCTCCTCCTCCTCCTCCTCCTCCTCCTCCTCCTCCTCCTCCTCCTCCTCCTCCTCCTCCTCCTCCTCCTCCTCCTCCTCCTCCTCCTCCTCCTCCTCCTCCTCCTCCTCCTCCTCCTCCTCCTCCTCCTCCTCCTCCTCTCCTCCTCCTCCTCCTCCTCCTCCTCCTCCTCCTCCTCCTCCTCCTCCTCCTCCTCCTCCTCCTCCTCCTCCTCCTCCTCCTCCTCCTCCTCCTCCTCCTCCTCTCCTCCTCCTCCTCCTCCTCCTCCTCCTCCTCCTCCTCCTCCTCCTCCTCCTCCTCCTCCTCCTCCTCCTCCTCCTCCTCCTCCTCCTCCTCCTCCTCCTCCTCCTCCTCCTCCTCCTCCTCCTCCTCCTCCTCCTCCTCCTCCTCCTCCTCCTCCTCCTCCTCCTCCTCCTCCTCCTCCTCCTCCTCCTCCTCCTCCTCCTCCTCCTCCTCCTCCTCCTCCTCCTCCTCCTCCCTCCTCCCTCCTCCTCCTCCTCCTCCTCCTCCTCCTCCTCCTCCTCCTCCTCCTCCTCCTCCTCCTCCTCCTCCCTCCTCCTCCTCCTCCTCCTCCTCCTCCTCCTCCTCCTCCTCCTCCTCCTCCTCCTCCTCCTCCTCCTCCTCCTCCTCCTCCTCCTCCTCCTCCTCCTCCTCCTCCTCCTCCTCCTCTCCTCCTCCTCCTCCTCCTCCTCCTCCTCCTCCTCCTCCTCCTCCTCCTCCTCCTCCTCCTCCTCCTCCTCCTCCTCCTCCTCCTCCTCCTCCTCCTCCTCCTCCTCCTCCTCCTCATACTCTTTAAGCAGATTTATAGTAGCCCTAAGGCTATCTCGCGGATTCAAAAGTTTTATCAGTATCTTAAAAAAAGGGTTTTATGGTTACCTTGTATACTTTGATAAATCTAAAAATGTTACTTGGGACACACTATAAGTATAATAAAATGATTTGAAACTTTTAGGCAGTAACATTGGCTGATGTAAACGGTGACCTAGGAAATAAGGCTCTAATAGAAATTTCACAACAATTTGGAAGCAAGAGAGCAATTTTTTCGAAAACTGATGTTACGAAAATTGATCAATTAGAAGGTAGGATTTAGAACTGGGAACGATCGTAGGGTTTTAGATGTTTTAAAAGTAGAAAATTTAGTATACAGGTAGTAATTGTATACTTAGTTTAAAATAGTAGGTATAATTTTTGTTAATACACAGAAAAAAAGGTGTACTAGATTCAAGATAAATGGTCTTATTTCAGTGCTTTGTTGTGTTAGTATATCCGCAAGTAAAATTCGTCTCGATTTGAAATTCTAGTAATACTTGTTCAACAATAGCTAATAAGCCTTGCTTCAAGAGTAGAATCAACTTGCCCTAACCAAAATATCTCTAATTAAATAAAGAGTATCTATTTCTCAATTGCAGTATTATGTACATCTTAAATGAAATAGTCAGTTTTAAATATACTTTATTTATATTCAATAATACCTTGTTCTTAAATCCAATAGAACTAAATATGATATTTGACACAAATATATTGATTTTGGTTGCATTATAGGATAGTTTCATTGAGGAAATTAATAATCTTGAAATAAGATCAGGCTGTTCTTGCTTTTTAATATGGTACCTATCCATGGTGCCTATCCACCGAAAAACATTTCTCAAAATTGTTTTTAGTTAATATACCAAATTTCTCTGTCCTGTGGGTGTCCCATCTATAATTAAAAAACTTCAAAACCTAAATGGAACATAAAAGTTTGTCCTACTAAGAGGTGGTATCTACAAAATGAATGTTTTTAGTTAATGTAAGTACGTCCTTTTAGTTTCGCATATTTTACTAACCTTTTCTTATAATTATAGTAAATTTTTTCTAATGCAAATAGGCCTTTATTATTTTGTGTTTTAATAAAATAAAATGTAAGCTTATTAAATTTGTAAGAATCTTGAAATCAGAATTTTCGTAGATACGACCTCTTGTCTTAGCAAGGCAGAAGTCGTCATTCCAAAAAGTCGTTATCCAGCATCATAAATTTTTTTCCTTCCATTCCGGTTTGTTTCGTGTTCTTATGATTTTAAATTTACTTACCTAACAAGAAGTGAACTAAATATACTTACATTTAAATATTGATATCAGGTCGCTCAGTCCCCATTCATTTAACAAATGTTCATTTTAATTTAATTTATTCATACACTTATTAATTGAATCACAAAGAATTTCTAACAAAAAGTAAAACCTAACCCTAACGATACGATGCAAGCAAACATGTTAGAAAATAGACAGACAATAGGATGAACACGTGCTAATGAAAATTTGCCAGATTATCTATAAATGCGTTGTGTCTCTGACTTCTGAATAATAAGTATCACAACTCAACATGTGCCAGTCATATATTTACCATACCAGTGCAGTGGTTGCATTTTAAAATAAGTTTCAGCTAGCAACACCGTGCAGTGAATTTGTTCTAGCTAATCTTTTGTGAAGTACATATGTTTTTGATTCGAATTGTTTAATTCTTGTTGTGAAATTTAAATGCTTTGAATTGAATCCTTTTATAAAATTGAATCAAGTACGCAATAGTCGGTTTTAAGAGCTTATCATACATAATAAAGGTAAGAACTTTCTTGAATTACTTTACAATTCTATACTCGAATTAAATATTTTATTTTTAGATTAATTATTATGTGCCATTCACACCGCTAGTAGTAAAGAAATAAGCCAAGCTTAAAATGACATTTTTCCATTGATAATGTCATTTTAAGCTTTGCTTATTTCTTAACTACTAGCGGTGCGAAAATACAAGATTATACCTATACTTCACTATTTTCTTATTGTATCGAGAAATATCATTTGAACCAAACTCTGCTTTATTTCAAACCAATGTAATCTTCCAAGTGTAAAGCTTTTCTTGAATGTAGATGATCATTTTTTTCTGTGTACTCGTATTATTTTATAAACACAAAACGTAATACCTACAGGTAAGTGCGGTCCTACACCAAGCAAACATCAAACATGCAACATGCAACGTGCGGCATGAAGTAAATATCGTATGTTGCTAAACATCGTAGACACAGATGGAAAAATTTAAGCACTTGCAGTATTCATATTCAATATGTCGTCAGGCGAGGAGGATGTGGTTGTAGCTTGGAAATTTTTGCGAAATCGACGTAAACGTAAAAGAATGCGTCGATGATCCCGAGAACATGTATGTTTTTAGATTGGATATATGCGGCACAAGTCTACCCGCGGTATTTACTACATGTCGCACGTTGCATTTTGCATGTTTGATGTTTCCTTGGTGTACTACCGCACTAAAATATAAATACGCAATAAAAAATAAGTAAGACTTTTACTGCTTACTATACAGAATGAAAAGGTTGGACATATTTACAAAGAAACCGTAAATTTTAGTAAATTCTAATAAAATTATCTAAAATCAATTCTTGATAAATATTATGCTATAAAAAGTAATACCATGTTATCATAACAGTATAAAGTTTCTGCTCGAAAGGTCTAGGGTTCAATTTCTTTGTTTTTGGTTTCAAGTCTATTTAATTTTATAAATTAGTAAAAATCCTTAATTAAAATCTTAATGTTAATTATTTTTAAAATTATTATGTTATTTTATTAACTTCTAAATTAATTTTTGAAATTGTGTAATTTTAATTATTTGGCCGTAGAAAAAATGTACTATAAAACTTGAGTAAATTCTTTACCATACTCGAATATCTCTATCATGTATATTTTATTCTTAATAATGGCACACCTGCTCGTTCATCCCTGCCTAGAACTTACCATTATTCAAAATCATTGTTTTCTTATTTTAACAAACTTTAACAGATTCCTTTAAAAAAACCGTTGAGACCTTTGGAAATATTGATATTGTATTTAATAATGCTGGAATACTGAATGATGCTATTTGGGAGAAACAAATTTCTATAAATGTGGTACGTATTTATTTTTTTAGATTATTTTATTTAACGTATTTTTAACTATAAGGTTAAATCACCGAGGCTAATGAGTATGCTACATTTTTGCCACAAATTTTTCTGAACCATGTGATGTTTTAATCAAAGGTCGCGATCTCCTGCAAAATATTTCACATCGGCCACTACCTACACTTCGTAGCGCATACAATTAATATCTTAATGTTAAATGTACCTATATTTTTTAGAATGGTGTGATACATGGTATGATACTAGCCCTTGAAACGTACTTACCAACATATCACCAGGGTCCTGAAGCCGTTATTGTCAATATATCTTCCATAGCAGGAGTAATAGGCACTGCTCACGTACCAATTTACAGCGCTACCAAACATGCTGTCATAGGTGAGTATAGAGGATGTACCAACAGGGCCGTAGCCAGACCCCATGTTTTAGGGAGCTAAACAAAATCTTGGGGGCCCCATTTTTTTTCTTTATTAGAGTAAATGGATATTTATTTAAGAAAGCATTTTAATTATTCTAAAAAATAAACTACCGAACAATAATAAAATATAATTATCTTTCTATGAACTTTTATCTTAGGAATTGGTTGAGGGTTGAGTTATAATATAGTAAAAGCGGTAACAAATAGGTCAAAGAGATTAAAAATAAATAATTTTTTTTCATCAATTTTTAGAATAACTGCAGTTTTCTATTTTGTAAATTATTAAACTCAACCAACAGATTGTCAATATTTATATTTTTTACCCTTTTTTTTTCAAAATGCTAAATAGATAAGGTTTGCCAGTCTTGGATGTAACATTGACCTGCGCTGAGGTCTATCAATTCTAGTGAGGCCAGAAAAATTAGACTCATACATCGCCGTATTACAAGCAAAAGTACGGCAAGTCGCTAGAAATTCATAAGTGTCTTTAAATGCAGTTTTTTGCTTAAAAATAGGTTGGAAAATATCGGGATTAGCTGCAGCATTCTCGTTTGTGGTACTTGGCAATTTAATGTCCAGTTCGGACAGTGGTTGACATTTTTTAATTTCTAATTTTCCTCCCGACATAATAGCTTCAATAAAATCATTGTTGTTGTTAAATTTAGAACATTGGAATGCGACTCATTAATTGTTAATTGTTTGCATTTTTCATTAATAAAGGCCGTTTATTAATGTTTATTATCTTAGGTGATTTGATCTGGTTCTAAGCTAGAAGAAAAATTTACCTACATCATTTTACTCCACTCTTAGCGGTAAAATATTTTTTCTCACGACTATCTAGATCAGCCATACTTAACCTTCTTTTCTTTCGGGCCAAATACGTATGTTTGCTATGTTACAACCCAGATAGCACAAGTCAATCCATTGGATGTCCATCAAAAGTCCATTCATGGACATATCGGCTGTCCAAAGGACGTCCAGCATTTTACCGAAGGACATCCAATGGACATCCACTGGACTATACAAATGTCCCACTCCTGGACGTCCATTTGGACTCCATGAAAGGTCCATATATGGACTCTTTTTGTATTGCTTTTGGACAATTTATGGACATCTGACGGACATCACTACCTATAATGATATGAAATAAAATAATTGCAACTATTGACTTATTTTTATTGTCATAAATAATATCAAGCATGTATTGATTTTATACGCACTCCATTCTGTTGACTTTCTCAGCCATTTTGTTAAGACTATTTCGCTTACTTTTTAAGCAGCACCATTGTCACTCTCAGCAACAGCTAAAAAAAGACATTACATTTTATATGAATATTGAGTATTAAATCAATCCTTTAATAAACGCCTGATCAGGCAAAAGTGATAGTTAAAAATGTAAAATTTTTAGATAAAATATTATTAGCTAATATGAAAATATGCATTGACTAATGTACTTTACCCCTATACTTACATATAAACAAAAAACTGCTCATTGTTTCTTTAAATTACCATTTTACTTTAATCATATTATGTGAATTCTTTCGTGAGGGTATTAGAAATTATGGAAACAAACCATCTTTTTATAAGTTCGTCATGTCCTTGTCCCTGGTTTTGGTAACGGCTGAATCTAAAATTGAGTATTCAAAAATATGTATTTGTGAACATAAAAGAGAAATAACTTATGAAACCACTTTCAATGCATTATTTGTTAAACGTTACAAAACGATTCTATTTTATTTAATAAAAGTAAAACTTACAGCTTCTTTAAAAATATTTTTATCTTCTAAATAGCCTTCTACTTCTGCTAACGTCTCTTGCAGTACAAATAGAAACTTTTCTTCTGCTTTGAAAGTTTTCTCACCCCTTAGTTACAATAATAATTATGTTGACATTATCTCGAATTTGTAGCATATTAGTTAGCTTTTAGTAAAGCCATTTTCTTAAATAGGTAGGTACATCATTTGACAAAAGGTCTAAAAGAAAGGGATTCTTTGAATGTAAATCGAAAACATAAAGTTTAAAACATAATTGATAGGTTATGTTAGTTTAAAACAAACGATTTGCTTTTTAATTTTTAGATTTTTAAATGATTTAATTAATAATTATACTTATTTTCTTACCAGATAAAAACATCTATGTGCTACAGGCTGTGTTTTCTTCTTAACCTCTTTCTTCTTTTCTTCTTCGAGTTTGGCCTGAGTGGCCTTTTACTTTTCTATCTTGTCAACAGAGGCGAGAGAAGAGGAAAATTATATTATATTTTAATTAAAACCTAGTAGTAAATAAATTATACAAGAAGAATTATAATAAATTATTATAAGTTAGTCATTTTTATAGTGTCCATCATGGACATTTTTTGGACATCCATTGGACTTCTGAATGGGTATATAGTGAAAAAAAATGTATTCAGAACATAATTAGTCTTTACAAAATATAAACTAAGAATCTATTAAATGGTAACGTCACTTAGCTAAAATTCTAGCTGTCTACATACTGCAGTTGGATTCTCATCTTTCGATACGGCACGTATTGACATGCCTATCTTCGTTCGACAGACTGCAATTCTTATGTAATGTTTTTATCCGATACGTATCGTGTCGAGTTCGTACATAAGAATTCGTGTGCACTGTGCGCAGGTCATAATATTCGATGCCTGTCACTAGCTTTTGTGGAAGGTTCAAGAACTGTGTCTTTAATATTATTGGATATTTTGTGATATTAATGGTGAAATTCATCAGGTGTAGCACCTGATTTGGAAAGTTTTAGTAAATCTTTCTTCTTGGCATTACTAATGTCTTGCACTTTTTTTGTGAGTATTTTCAGAGAATGGCCAGAGACGGCTCTAGGCAAAACAAATGGCTTGGGCAATTTGTTGAAGTATTTCAACAAATACATTGAACATAAATAAGTGTTCTGGCCCTTATCTTGGTTTGGTAGAAACAATATTAGGAATCGGAGTAAATATATTTAGCAAAAATAAGTTCTATGTCTCTTATCTGGTTTTGGTAGACACTCTATTAGCAATTGAACACAATGTTATGACTATATATCGGTATAAATGCCACTCATCTTGTGTGCATATTATGAATGTATTAATACAGTTAATTAGCTTTTATTGACCATCTGTTTATCATGAATATAGACTTCGTTCACATTTGTTTTGGTTGTGCCATATATTATTTGAACTATTTTGCAGACGAAAGTGTACCTAACTCGAAAATACCAAACGTAGAGATATCTTGTTTTTCCAGTAACCCCATGATCCTAACGTAATATTTAGGGCAGCGACCGATGAATATTTTCGCGCGTTTCACTCAAGATTTTAAAAACAGAAACCAATAGTTGTAGGAAGCACTTTTTTAATAATAGTGTTTCGAGTCGCAAAGAAAAGCATGGAGGGCATGCGGCCCGCGGGACACAGGTTGAGTGTTGCTGATTTAGACATATAATAGCCAAGCAGAAGCGCTTTAAAACCCGAATATAGGCAACACCTTTTACACAACTCTTTTTAATAAGACAGTATAATTTGTTAAATATAAAATAAAATCCTTTTCTCTAATTTAAGTGCAAGGGATCAATTCCTAAACGCTGTATTTGTATGAGTTGTCAGTTGTGTATTGTTTTGTTCTAACCTAACCGTCTTTTATTTGTTTATTTTTTTTATCGAGTTTCATAGTTTTTTTTACAGCAGTTTACCAATGTAATAAATTTGTAATAGCTGTTTATGAAACCACTTACGAAGTGCCTTATTTTATGTAACAAGTAAATATTTGGGTGCACGTAACTAAAAAAGATTTATCGGATCACAGGACGATATACTTAATTTGTATACTTAACAATCCCACTCTCCGAATCATACAAGTTTGAGTTAGCTAGGATTAATAATATAATTGCCACTCCTTACATCCTTGGATAAACAAACACCGTGACAAATGATTGAAATATTAATTTTACACCAGGCATTGCAATCTGAAACAACAGATAATGATTTAAGAAAATATTTTTCTATTTCAATGAGAACACTTACCACCTAAAAGTGCCACAGGCTCCTCTACCAATACTATTAAACGCAGAAACAAAATGACATTTGCGGATATGTAATTGATAAGAAATATAAAGGCACAAAATTTTAATGGTTTCAAGTGGAAATAGAATTTGCCCATGAGTAATAGAGATTATCAATAATGGGAAAAGTAGATATTACTAGTTTTATTTCAATAAAACATTTTTACATTAAAGGTATTACAAGATCTTGGGGACAACCCGCTTTTTATAAGAAGTTCAATGTCAGGGTAGTAGCTGTTTGTCCTGGCGTTACCGACACACCCTTAATAAGTGAAATGAACGGAAGAAGTTTAGGAGATATCTACGAAGAAAATGGAAAAGAATTCGTAGGCGAATTAACGGTACAAACGTAAGTGTACAGTTATTATGGTTCTTGTTTTTCTTTTTAAATTAATAATCAACAATAAAGAGCCAAATATTGAAAACATTTTGCTTGAATTATTGCGAATATTATTTTTGACTAAATGTAAAGTTATTGTTACTTAGTACAAATTAAATAAAAAAAAATCATCTAACTAATATTGATTTTTTCTCATGAAAGCGAATATACCACGACATGAAAATTTATTGTTTTTATTTAAGGAACTGTTATTTTCTATAATTAGTATATAGTTGATGCAATTTGAAGATATCTTGATATAATTTATATAATCTGCAATGAGTAATTAATTAATTAATTTATTAAAACATCATTGCTTTCAGACCAGAAGTGCTTGCAGAAGAAGTTATGAATATAGTAAAATATGGACCCAATGGTTCAGTCTGGATCGTCGAAGGTGGAGAACCAGCATACCAATATGTGTTTCCCGATAGAAATCAGATGAAGTATAACCAGATTTCAGATTACATTCAAAACAAATGAATTATTTTAATACTAATAGACTATTCGTTTACTGGGTATTTAATTTAAGTGTTAATTTATTTTACTTTTTTTTGTCAGAAATAATAATTTTATATTATGTGCCTCAAATTATGTAATACATTAGTTATCTATATAAAACTCATGGACTATGCCGTTTATTTACCCAGGGTGATTATAAAAGTCATACATCGCTCACTCTATTATAGTAATACGTTGTAGGGGTAAATAATTACTCTGGTAATATGCTTTAAAATCTTTTATTTAATAATTTTGATAAATTAATACAAGATTCGAAATAAGGTGACGAAATAAGCTTTACCGAATGGCGTGCTCTTCTTCTCCTTCTTCATATCAGTTTCTTGATTCTTCTCCTGAATGAGGCACAAGCACAAGAGACAAACACTTTTAGCACATATAGTAGGTATAGTAGGTACCACAATATGTTATTATTTATTATAAGGGAGTAAGAAGGTAGAAATAAGCTATAAACATCTTTTTTAAACATTTAAGACGGTGTCACTGGGCGTAACTTATGTCGATCTAATACAAAGATATCTTAGATAATATGATGTCTATGATCTAATATGGCCGATATACCAGAACCCACATACTTTGATTTTCTTTTACTATACGGAGAATAGTCGCACTGCGCAGCTTTCTGAGTGCCTTTTAAAAGGAGATAGAAAACTCCGCCATTTTGAACCCTTATTACGTGTTGCCTACATCTTGGCGCAATATTTTTAATAGGTGCGTTTTAATCATCCACTTCTGCTTCGGAATTGTCGGTTTTCTTGTTTTAATCTGACAGGTTAGAACGACTGAACCGAAAATTCCGGAAGCAGAAGCGGATTATTAAAACGCACCTGATATTTTGCTTGCTGCTGTCAGTGTCAGTGAATATTATTTTTGGAGTCACAGTTTATTGCTAAAGAATCAGTTAGCTCACTCGGACCAGTTGAAAGTTCCAAAATAACATCCACTCCAGGGATACAAATTCAGGATACGCAGAAGACTGCTGTTTTATTATAGGCGGTTGTCATATATTGTATTATCTGAGTTGCGCAGTGTATAAACTGGAACATTGAGATAAAAAGTGCCGACGCAGAGTGAGCGATCTGATTCTTTAGCTATAAACTGTGTCATAGGGTTCAAAATGGCCGCGCCCTATGTTGGGGGTGTCGGGCCTCTCTCTTGCCCCGTATAGTAATCAAAGTATGTGCCAGAACCAGACTATTGGGAATGCAATTTCTATATTTTTCTTTTTTTTTAGGAAATGTAAGTTATATTTATTAATTAATATAAAAGGATTGTCAGTAATTTCACTTATTAACAAATGGAATAAAAAATGTATAGAAAATTTTATGTTAAAAAGTATTTTATAGAATAATTACAAAGTCTAAAAATTCTATTTTATATACCATGATTTAACGTAACTGTTATGTTAGACTGTAACTGATCTCACATAAAATAACCAAACATTTGTTAGATAGGTAGGTATTAATAGAAAATATATTAGGACAAAATTACAAATAATATAAAACTTATGTTTATATACTGACTACTAAACAATACAATTTTATTGTTGTGATGTCTTATGCTGTCACATTTTTTATTTTATTTTTAATGAGGTAAAATATCCTAATATTTGTATATTTGTTAGCTGCAGCTTTAATTAATAGTACTCTATTATGGTTATACGAGAGCCGTCTTTTAGGTTTTGCATATCGTGCATTAAAGGGCGTTACGAATCAAAAGGCTCTAATAAAAATAAACTGTCGCCTTTAGTTAACCTCACTTCTAAGTTTCATTCCGATTCATAGAGTGTTGTAGTGTCACCGAATTTTCAAAGTTAACAAGTTATTCAAGAACTGGATTTAAACCGAGAACATTTTCGTGCCATAATTTTTTACAACTTTCAAAGACTATCTTAACAAGAATGCCTCGCCGAGATGCACCACATCAATTGACAATTTCTCGTTGGTATGGAGAATTTACACGAGGATGGGTTAATCTTAGTCACGAGCCAAGAACAGGTGCACCTAAATCGGTAATCACTCAGGAAACCATTGATGCTGTACGCAGACTCATCAAGGAAGATCATCATGTAACATATCGCGAGATTAAAGCATCGTTAGGGATTTCAAAGACCTTAATCCAAAAGATTTTGCATGAAGAATTGACAGTAAAAAAAATTGTGTCCCGTTGAATACCGCATCTGTTGGCCGAAGAACAAAAAGAAGCTAGGGTAAATTGGTGTCAAAAAACTCTGAAGCGCTTCAACGCTGAAAACTCTAAAAACGTTTACTGCATCGCAAGTGGTAATGAATCATGGATTTACTCATATGAACCTAAAAATAAACGCCAATCGTCTGTTTGGGTTTTCCAAGGTGAAGACAAGTTGACAAAAGTGATCCGTTCTCGAAGTGTCTAAATATATGGTCGCAATATTTGTCTGCAAAGCAGGTCATGTTGCAACAATTCCTCTGCAAGAGCAAAAAACTGTTACTGCTGATTGGTATATAACTATTTGTTTGCCAACAGTCATCGCTAAGCTTCGAGAAACCAACCCCAAACGAAGAATCATCCTCCATCAAGACAATGCAAGTGCGCACACAGCTCGCAAAACAATTGCATTCTTAGAGCAACAAAACGTCGAGTTGTTAGACCACCCTCCTTACAGTCCCGACCTAAGTCCCAACGATTTATTTACCTTTCCGGGAATCAGGAACGCACTGCATAACGTAGAGGAACAGATGGTTAACTATGAATTTGTTCAGTTATTTCTAGTTTTGCTAAAGTTGAGAGTAGACACAAGTTTTCTTTGCCTTCTTCGCTATGAACAACAAATTCCTCTAAAAAAAAGAAAGAAAAACCATTTGTCAGAATTAAATGTTTGAGTCACACTTTTTAGCCAGATGAAATTTAAAATAATTTCATAAAATGTGAATATATTTCTGTGCCTAGGAGGTAAACTGCACTATGTCATTCTAGTCAAAATTCTGTCAATGTTGTTAAATTATCAAATTTCAACTAGATATGCATTTAGGCACCCATTTATTGTAAACATATTTGTATTTTTAAATAGTCTAACTAATAACTACTTTATTTTAATTTGTTGTTGTATGTCGACTTAGTGCAGTTTACCTCCGAGGTAGTTCTATAAAATGAAATGTATCGGTTGATGTTCTAAGATTATTAGTATTTATCATTTTATTTTTTTAAACTACTAAATGTAATGTAAAAAAAATGACAAGCAAGACGAGTAGCAAACTTTTTGTAACATTTAACTATAAATTTTATTTATTTACCTTGCAAAACTGTGAGTCTTTTCGTAGGCTCTGAATGGGGAAATACTGTTGGGAAGGCATTTGCAAATTATCGTTTTCTTGTTCCTGACTGCTAAACGAATTTATCCTGGAAGTGCAATTCACAAATTTCGTAATTGTTACTTAAGTGTTCAACACTCTTTCCCAATAAGTCCTCTCTGCTTTGCTGCCTTAAGCCACAATTCAAGTCTGAAAAATACATACAATCATTGTACTACAATGTTATGGCAAGGTCAATTCCTATTTCACCCTCAATGTTTCATACATACCTCACTGGATCTTTCACAAGAGTGAAAAATCCTTTGTCACCTATTCATGAGATACATCCACGACAAATACAAGTATATATTTCTCCTCTTTGACGCGGCTTTGTTTATAAACCTAATCTTAATAGGTAAAATAGTCTTAAATTAACACTCCACAATTAAAAACAGTAACAAAAACTAAAAATAAACCACTAAAAAAATGTAAAAGTTATCATAATATTCGCAAAAAAATAGATTGCAAGTGCACTTAAGGTCAGTCACTATTAGTACCGCTCTTATTTTAACTTCTGAGCATGCGCAGATCACTTACATTCTAGAACTGACTTTATTAAAGATTGGGCCTGTTCTTAATTGTGGATGTTTAAAAACAGCAGTTAGTGGCGACCTTATAGTTTTTGGGTGCGCTCGCCAACATTCGTATCAGTTCGAAGTTTTTTAATATTAAATAATTAATAACATCGTCATCTAAACCTTCTAAAATGGTAATTTCTAATGCATCTTCCATATTATGTACTATTATAAACAACAAAAAAAGATGAACTGTAATTGAAAAGTTTTAAAATGAGGTTAGAAATATATATAGGGACAAGGACTCTAATGTCAAAATTTCAGGATTGCAATAAGTCTTATTTTTCCATGGAATTTATTTGCCACTAATTAAGTTGTCACTATTAGTGACTGACGTTATAGAAATTTGCAATAACTCTCTAATATTAATTTTCTGACAGCGACAGCAGTGACAGCTTTGTTCGTCTGCTACAAAAAAGTGCACTGTTGCACTTCGAACAAGTAACAAATCTACAATCCCCACATACTTTAATTACTATACGGGGCAAGAGAGAGGTCCGACACGCCCAACATAGGGCGCGGCCATTTTGAACCCTATGATACAGTTTATAGCTAAAGAATTAGATTGCTCACTCTGCGACAGCACTTTTTATCTCAATGTTCCAGTTTATACACTGCGCAACTCAGATAATACAATATGACAACCGCCTATAAAAAAACAGCAGTCTTCTGCTTATCCTAAATTTGTATCCCTAGAGTGGATGTTATTTTGGAACTTTCAACTGGTCCGAGTGAGCTAACTGATTCTTTAGCAATAAACTGTGACTCCAAAAATAATATTCACTGACACTGAGAGCAGCAAGCAAAATATCAGGTGCGTTTTAATCATCCGCTTCTGCTTCCGGAATTGTCGGTTTAGTCGTTTTAACCTGTCAGATTGTGTATCAATCTTTAATTAATTTTAACAAAGTTTATTTTGTGTTAATTCGATTTTAAGTTCTACCCTTACAATATTTCACAATTCATATTTTATTTAAAAAATACAAATTTCTCTAAATACATTAATAAGAAGTAAGTCCTATAAAAGGTTTTTTCTAGCTCATGTTTTTTGCTTGTTTTTGATTTTTTCACCTGTTTTTGTTTGTTTTTTTTGCATTCTTTGCTTTTTTTGTTTTAATTTTCTGTCTTTTTTATATTTATTTTATTTTTTATTTTTGTATATATCTTAATTATTTTCGTTAGAACTTTAAATTTAAGGAGTTTACATGATTATATAATAATTTTGTATACATCGAGATTCTTGAGCGCGAGATGTGACAAATTAATAGGTAGTTGGACATTATGTTGAATTAGTTTGGTATATAGATTTGATATGTCAATATCATTTAAAATACATTCTAAAAGTAAATGCCGCAGATGCATTCATCATTGTCTACCAATCCCATTCTTCTTTTATATTTTGGAGTCAGGCAATGATTACTTCTAATTCTTCAAGTCGTTCTAATAGAACTTCTGTTGCTGAATTTGCGAAACCATGGTATAGAGGGTATCTTGCTTTGAATGTTTTTAAAAAATTGACCTTTGTCTGAACAGATATAATTGTCTTGCCTCTTATTTCAAATAATTTAATATAGCAATTTAAATCGCCTTTTGGAACTTGATGTCAATTTATGATGATATTATCATTAGTTCCTTTTTTAGCAAAATGATCTACAATTTCATTATTTTTAATTCCAATGTGTGACTTTATCCAACATAACGTTATAATTTTTCCCTTTTTCCTTGCCTCACTATTTAGAGCAATAATTTTATAGATAATATCATTTATTTCGTTGTTAATTGTAATATCTCTTAATTTTGGAACAATGCTTTTGCAGTCCGTAAAAATTATATAATCTATTTCTTTTTGTTCTATACATATTTTGAAAGCCTCTTTAACTGCTATAAGTTCTGCTGTATAAATTGTCATTATATCGGGTAATCTATTTTTAATTTTAATTTTAATTTTTGTGGATAATATATAGCATAGGCAACTTTTCCGTCTTTTTTAAACCATCTGTGTATAGCGTTTGGTAATTTTCCCAACATATAATAAATGATCAATTTTTGTTAGGGCGTCAGTTGCTTGAATCTTACTGAAATGACAATTGAACGGTACTAAATAGTCTTCGTAATTTAACTTTAAATAGGACATGTGTTCTTTTGGATTAATTCCGGTAAATAGGTATATTTGAGTAATCAAGAAAACTTTCCACAAATAATGGCACTTTTTTCTTTTTCCAATACTGATGTATTAAGCGGCTGGTTTACAATTTTATTTAGCAATGTTTTACCACTTACAACTAAAAGGACTATAAATTTAATTCTTAAAAATTATCTGCGTAAAATTAATGAGGGTTCACAAAGTTCCGCTTCCATAACCTTGATAGGTGTGCTAGGCAGATAACTAATGCATAGTCTTAAAGCTTTATTTTTTATTCGTTAAATTTTTGGAATTGTGGAATTTGATGAAGAGCCATAGAATATTGATCTATAATCCAAGATAGATCTAATTAGATTTTTAAATAATAATAAATAGATATTTCGATCTGCACCCCAATCACTAACGTTTACAGTCTTAAGAATATTCATAGCATTTTCAATCCTTCGTAAAATGTAATTTATGTGTACTTTCCAGTTCAATTTTTAATCTAAATATAAACCAAGAAATTTAACTGAAGTTTTAGATTGGAAAAAATGTTTTTTCCAATCATAAATAAGAGAAATATAAGAAAAAGAAGTCCATGAAATTATTCATCTGCAACGAAATATCGAAACAAAATGGATTAAAAATATCTGTAAAAATATAAAACCTGCCTAATGTAAAGCAACCAAAAAATAAATGCTGTTTCCTCGAAAATAAAAAAATATATTTATAAACTTCAACTATTAATTTATGAATAATCAATAACAATCATCTTCTCCCTGATAGTCAACAAAAGTATCGTAACCAGTTATTTTAGGATCGCAAATGGTATTTTTCACAGCTTCATCGACGTACGCAGACAATACCCTAAAGTTGATCTTATCGTGATCCAGTCCTTCGTAAAGATAAAATGGCAACTTGTTACTTAACACCCAAACGCTCTGTCTCTTTTCTTGATCGATTTTCAGATCGTTTGGGAATACTAAAGTCTCTTCGTCTTGAGCAACTAATCCTAAATTTGATCGCTTATATGGTTTTCTTGAATCCCAGCAACCTACGGAATCCCTGGTCACTAAATTGTAGAACATGATACCTAAAAAACGAAATCACTAGATCATACTACATAATAATTACAATAACGTACCATTCCTATCTATTCTTGAAGCCGATACATGTCCTGATTTGCCTCTGCTTTGACCCATAACTCTAAAAGCATTTTTTATTTCGGACCAACCAGTTTCGTTACAAATCACTGAAGTTTTTACATAAAATTCTCTAAAACTTGACATGGGATGGAAGTAGAGGATCCGATCTGTTTCATATCGACTGTAGGGACTAAGTGCCATACCAAAAATTCCGTCAGTCCATTCGAAATTCAGATTGTGTACCTGTAATGTTTATAACAACATTATTATATCGTTAACTCATTCATTTTTCTTACATTTCTAATAATATTTGCAATCTATGAGAGTTAAAAAAAATGGAATTAAATAATGTTTTGTGTTTCAGTGAGGATTAGAGATTCCATGAGCTCTCTATTGGTGTCTTAAGAGCTATTAACTCCAACTAACAAGCTCCTTAAATGCCATATTCAAGAGATAGTTCTGTGTTAAGAAATTAAATGGCCAATACGTTAACATGATGTTACAGTATGATTGTTCTGAAAAACATTTATTAGCAGATGCTACATTTAAAAATTTGAAAACAAAAAGTTGATATAAACATGGATCCGGAAATGCTTCGCTTTTTCGCTAAACATAAAGACTTGCCAGCACAAACGTCACTGATGTAAGTGCCTTGGAAAATAATGTTGTACATGTAAATGTACCCTTTTATGATACATTTGCGAGTACCAAAACTCATTTCAATATCTTAACGGGTTATCGATAAATGTGAGATAAACTATTAAAGACGGAAAAGCTTAAAATTGAGCAATATCATGAAAACGGAGCATTTCCGGAACCATGTCTATATGAATTTTTTGTTATTTTTTAAGTGTAGAATTGTCTACTAAATTTTCTTCACAAAATTCTGTAACACCCTGTATAATGCTTATAGCAGTCCTACAAGTAGTTGTTTAGTGTTGTATGTGGTTATCTTGGAGCGATCTCAAACAGCTCTAAATATAATGAATAACTGGTGCAAAAAGGAGCAATTGTCCATTAACGCACAAAAAAACAGTTGTACCATTCACAAATAAACGGTTATTTACAAGACTAAATAACATGGTTATTCCATTTATCTCAGAAGACTCAGAGAAATCTCGGAGTCATATTCGATCAAAGACTGACGTGAAATTAACATTTCAAAAACTCGTAAGCTGTAGAAGAATATGTCAGAAAAACTGGAGTCTAAGCCTTAAAATGACCATATGTCTATACACACGGGTGATAAGACCCATGATAACTTATGGCGCGTGGCGTCGGTGATCAAAATGGTACAGGCAAGTGCAATAGGCCAACTCACCGGCATTGATCGGCTGGCCTACGAGTACCACTAAGGCCATGCTGTACTACGCTAACTGCAGCAATGGAGGTACTATTAAACCTCACGCCACTGCACATCATCATACAAGGATACACCAGGTCCGTTATTCACAGGCTAATGGAGGGACAAAACCCAATAAGCCAACTACATAGTGCCGACCATACTACCATACATAACGCTAACGCGTGTCCCAAAAGTTTTGGGAAAAAGTTTGTCTGTGCTCTGCAGAGTATTAAATCAAATCTATCTAGTTAGCCATGGTAATAAACGTTGCCCTGGGTTTTGTTTACTTAGTTGACAGCCCAGTTGCTATCTGTCTGTAGGCATAATGGCGTACAAAATTGAGATTCGAAAATCTATTTATAACTTTGTTAGTAAAATGCCGGAATCAAAATATATCTAAAAGAACCATTTACCGAACAATTCAAGAATGGGAGTAAGGAATACCTTGTCTCAACTTGCCGAAAAGTGGCAGACCGGCAACGCTTATCGATGTCAGGGTGAACAGGATGGTCGAACTCGAAAGCTTTCCCGACGATTTCAGGTACCAAAATCGACAGTTTCTAGATATATTGCAAAAAAGGCTTAAATTATAGAAAACGGACAAAATGTCAAAAGTATAACGAGGCCGAACTTCGAAGAACTCCTTATTGTTGCCGCTTGTTACGCCTTCGTCATTTTGTGAACAACAGAAAGATTATACTGGATGACGAAAAATATTTTACATTTTCGCATGCCGACCTACCAGAAAACTCAGGTTTTTATACAGATAATATTGAAAATACCCCCGAAAATGTAAAATACAAACCAAAGGCCAAGTTTGCGGAGAAACTGTTAGTCTGGATTGCATTATCGGAAAATGGTTTGTCCAGGCCCTATGTAGGACGTGTTAGAGGCCCTGCAGTGGATCAAAATACTTACATTCAAAATTGTCTTCCGAAATTAGTAAATTTTATTAGAGAACATCATGCCAACGACAATATCTGGTTTTGGCCGGACTTGGCGTCGGCTCATTATGCTAGAGCCACATGCGAATGGTTAGAAGCTCAAAATGTGCCATTTGTGCCTAAGCAGGACAACCCCCCGAACGTTTTCCAAGCAAGACCAATAGAGACATTTTGGGCAAGATTGTCAAGCAAAGTTTATGAAAATGGCTGGGAAGCTCAAAACGAGCAGCAGCTGCGGCGTAGGCTATTCCAAAAAATTAGGTAGTTTGATGTGGAAGAGTGCCAAACCCTAATCAGACGCGTCAGGACAAAACTGCGCCATATTGAAGAAAATGGACCCCTAGCGGTGCTGTAGTAGTTATTGTTTATTGTTAAGGAACAACTTTGTACGTAGTAGTATGAGGGATAAATAAATGTTTATAATATTTTTTTTTATGTGTCTTTAATTTTTTTCTCAAAACTTTTGGGACACCCGTTATATCAGCAAATAAAAAAGATTCAAAGAATACCTACTGATTTAGTCATTCCCACAATAAATTTTAAAGGAACTTTTAAATTCAAATACTAGATCGAGAATCGTGAAAACAGTGACCTCTCTACAGGCCAACTCTTCTGGTATACAAACGGTTTAAAAACCAAGGAAGGAGCCGGTTCTGGAATATATGGACCCAAGTCGAAAACAATGATTTCGCTGAGTCTAGTAGAATATTCAACAGTTTTTCAAGCTGAACTAATGTATACAATATTGTGCAAGAGAAATATTAAATCAGGCAAAACTATTGCCATCTACTCTGATAGCCAAGCAGCTCTAAAGGCAGAGCTGCTCGGCTTACCAGAAATCAAATTACGACGCAGAGCTAAGTAGTCATAACAAGGTGACCCTAGTCTAGATGCAAGGCCACGAAGGATAACAAGGAAACGAAAAGGCCGACGAATTTGCCAGAGAAGGCTCAGATAAGGCCATGACAGACCCCGAATCCTTCTGTGGATAACAGTAGGTTTTCTTACTGGACATCGTCGCCTTAGAAATCACATAAGTGTCATTAATTCAGCAGAAGAAACAACTTTGTCCAGGTTCTGTGAAGAAAAAGAGGAAACATCATTCGACGTCCTGTGTCAATGTGGAGGTCTGACTAGATTAACGTTTTTAACATTAGGCGAAGAAAAGCCAAACGCATGCAACTACACGCTTGAGCCACTGTCAAAGCTACTAAGACCAATAAAAAAGACCAAGCTAGAGGACATACTCTATAAAAATAAGAGTTCCTCAATAGATCTGAAAAGGCTGCAGTGGACAAGAACAAATAAGGTCCAACTTCTTTTAAATCTAATCTAATATGGTTGTACATGATTGATGCATGCATTTTGAGTTAGTTGGAGGCATGGTGACAGTATCATTTGGATTCATTTATATTAAATTTTACCTCATGGAAAGTTACTGGGTCCCCCTGTTTTACTGAGAATTGGAAAAAGTATAATAGGATTATACGTGAAACAAATAAAACCCACTCATAATAGTGGAACGCCCGTTGCAGAATTCATATGCCTTACATCACTTCCACTAACACTCGTCTCTTGTCCCTGTTGTCGTATGTGTAATTTTTATTTTAATCATAGCCATTAGCCACAGAGGTCACGTAGTATTCAGTATCTACTAAATCCATAACAAATAAGAATAAAATATATGCCTGCGGATAGTCGGATATCAGACGATGAAGAGTGAGTGGCCGTTCCACTACCGCTTGTTGCCATAGTCCTCCCGATGTTCTGAACTGTATTACTTATATAGAGCAATAAACAGAACATGTTTTTCATGTAGGTATTGGAAACATATATCGAAAAAATGCAATTCTTCATCTTTATGAATGTCCGTTTGGATGTAATTCCGAGTCATGCGTAGTTATCACGGACCTGACTTTATAAATATTTTTTGTCACCCCTTGTTTACCTTATATGCTGCTGCAAGCGGTTCAGGAAAAAATAGATGATCGGTGATTCTCCAAGACTTCATTCTCGCCAGGCTGAATACCACTATTCCAAATCTCCAAACATCTGCCAAGTAGGCGTGAACATTCTCGCAATCGTGTCTGACATCTACGATAATATTTGAATACAAACTATCTTCTTTGATAAATTCGTCAGGTAGAACGTGTTTAAAAAGAAGTTCGTCCGTCTTCAAGTCGAAAACTAGAATTTTTGGTGGGCAGATCTGTTTGGGCTTAATTGTCACATTAATGAGGCCACTGTCTAGAACCCAAAGACGACCGCAGGTATCAGCTGCTACTCTGAATACTGACGTGATGCTTTCACAAGTATCTGCAATGAAAAATTATTATTTTTTAATTTGTTAAAATTTGTTAAATATTATAGTTTTTTCAGATAAATCTGACCTTTCGGATTTGCGCTCTATATCAAATTCACAATTAGTGTTATGACTGGGGCTTCACCTGCTGTGAAGATAGGAAGTCTGGTTGACACTAAGGTAGAGAAATTAAAATAAGGGTTGTTAACGCAGTTTGTTCTGTGACCCTGTAGATTAAAGTGTACTGAAGGTAGGTTCAGTGGAGTTTAAAATACTTTCAGGCGGTCACCGCTAATGAAGTAGCCATTAAATTATAATAAAAGAAACGATTCTACCTCACACCTTGTACCCTACGGTACCGTACGGTACTCTGAAGTTAAACAATAAGAAGAAAATATGAAATAACCAAAACGTCAATATCGGCACTTCGGCATATCAGAAAATAATTTTCCTATTAAATAAACTATTTAAATCAATAATTAAACAATAAAAAGAAAATAATGTATAAAAAATAATAATGAAAACATTAGAAAAACTGTCTGAGTGCGTCGTTAAGAAAAACACTACGCCAGTTTGGAGTCTTTATCGTTTTAACCTCGTAAAACAACGTTTCTAAATTTCGCACAGCTAGCCACCAATAATTTTTTGACTAAAAGTTATATATTTTCCTATTTTAATACCAGAAATGTCAAAAAGTGACAGATACAAAAATGTGGAAATTTATCCGTTGTCTTGACTCTAATGAGACACGCTTTTGATTGCAATAAAAAAATTATTCCCGCTTGTTACTTTCCTATCTGTATACAGATATAAGGAAAGTATAGGAATCATGATTTTTTTCGACCTCGAGTTTTCGACGGATTTTTACGTTTTGAGGTCCCCTGAATCCGTTTTGACTATTTTCGCGATGATGTCTGTGTGTGTGTGTGTCTGTGTGTCTGTGTGTGTGTGTCTGTATAACGCATAACTCATGAACCGATACACAGAAAAACACCAAATTTTAAACTTAAGCTTTGTTTCAGCGTCCAATGAGCTGATTAGATTTTGGGCAGTGTCGGAACATCTGGGGGGGTACTTTATAGGTGGTCATTTTTATATTTTATGGAATATATCTGTTATTTACGTTTGGAGAAGAAAATTCTTCAATTAAAAGTTACTTCTAATATAATTGTCTATAATTTTTGTTTTATGCAAAATTTTCCTAAAATGGTCCGTATTCGAGAAATTTGACAAAATGTAAAAAACATAATTTTTTATAAAAATTGTTCAAATAAAAGTTGTTTATAATATAATTCTCTATAATTTTTGTCCTATACATAATTTCTCTAAAATGGACCGTATTCGAGATATTTGAGAAAATGTGTAAATTTCGAAATTTGAAGAAAACTCAAAAACGGATAAAGGAAAAAACATTAAATTTTAAACTTAAGGTTTATTTCGGCCTGACGTGAAATGATTAGATTTTGGACAAAGTTGGAACATCTGGGGGGGTACTTTATGGGAGGCCGTTTTTATATTTTATGGAATATATCTGTTATTTATGTTGGGAGAAGAAAATTGTTCAAATAAAAGTTACTTCTAATATTATTATCTATAATTTTTGTTTTATGTCAAAATTTCCTGAAATGGTCCGTATTCGAGAAATTTGACAAAATGTGCAAAATTCTGATTTTTATGAAAATTGTTGAACTAAAAGTTGTTTGCGATATCGATTTCTATAATTTTTGTTTATACATGATTTTTCTAAAATGGTCCGTAATGGAAAAGTGCTAAATTTAAATTTTTCTGTATTTTCGTTTTCAATGAATATCTATAGAAAAATGTTTCGAGGTAGATGTATGTGTAAAATGTATATATTTAGTTTATCCTCTAAACATTTATATAGATGCTGCAATAGGTTGTACAAAATAACCGGAAAATGCCTATAATAACTAGATAGGAAAGTCATGTGTTGGACACATCAGATTTTTTTAATTGGCCACACATAAAAAAAAGTGTACTATATTCAAGATGAATGATCTTATTTCAATGCTTCGTTGTGTTTGTATATCCGCAAGTAAAACTTGTCTTGATTTGAAATTATAGTAATACTTGTTCAACAATAGCTAATAAGCCTTGCTTCAAGATTAGAATCAATTTGCCCTAACCAAAATACTTCTAATTAAATGAAGAGTATCTATTGCTCAATTACAGTATTATGTACATCTTAAATGAAATAGTCTTACACTTGTTTTAAATATACTTTATTTATATTCAATAATACCTTGGTCTTAAATCCAATACAACTAAATTTGTTACAATAATAATATGATCTTTGACATAAATATATTGGTTTTGGTTGAATTATTCGCTCAGTGCGAAGTCATGGAAAGGGAAGCAAAAGCGATACTAGCGCTAGCTGCGGATATTTGGTGCATTTTAGGGCGATATTTTGTAATTTTGGCATATCAAATACACGTATACATTTTACTTTTTTTTAAAAAAGTAGGTGAAAACAATACAATAAGCAACCGGAGTTGCTGTGTTGAAAATTGTACAAATACTAGCAAAAAAAAACAGTGAAACTTATATAAAAAATTTCATTAGCAAAGTGAAAATTAAATCAAAGAAATAAATGGATAGGTGTACAATAAGAAGAAAAATTGCCTTTATTTTTGTAATAATAACTGTAATGCTGGAAATAGTAGGCATCCGAAACTTGAAAGGTTTTAAATAAACAATAAATTATCATTTTATGATATTCTTTAATATCCCTTTATTCTTAAATGTTCATTCAACAAGAACTAGATTTCAAGATTTCTGCCTTTGATTATATGTGGCTGGAATACAATTTTGTGACTTACTGATGGGAAACCAGTTTAAATCATTCATTCTATGTTTTCTTTCGAACAAAAATGAAAATATAAATAACGATCCTTTTTTATACATTTTTACTTCACTCTATTATTAAATGCTATTTTTTTTATTTTGGTAGAATTAGGCATTCCAAACTGAATGGCTACCAGTGGGTTTTGACGGGTTATGATATAGCAAAATTATGGCAACCCTGTAGGCCTGGTGATTTGACAAGGTCAATGAAATAGTTACATAGATTGATCATCCATATTTTTCAAAATAAACATAAGCTTATGTCTTGAAGTAAAAATGTAAGCAATTATTTTTTTTTAATATCTAAAGGCTAAAAATTAGTTTTAAAACACATTTTTTCTAAACCGATTCAAAATAATTAATATTTGCCAGGCAATATGGCCGCTCGTAAACGACCAGCTTTGAGCAATCTATATAACTATATATGTATCATTGACCCTGTTAATGACAACATGACAACAGGGTTGCCATATCTAAACTGTCATTACCCACTGGTAGCCATTTGGACAGGTCGTTGGAATGCCTAATAGGCTAATTCTTCAATGACAACTTATTAGACTTAGGCAACTTCTCATACATTTTCCAGTAAATACTGTTGCCTGCCTATATTTTATTATTGATTTTTAATGATTATACATAATTTTCTTTAATTTAAGCGGGAAAAATATATAATAACAATAAATTAATGTTTTACTTGTGTTACAAATCCATATACTTTTATTAAAACTAACATATGTACTTTTTATTTACGAATTCTATTAAAACTTGTATTTGTCAGTATAGGCAGAAATAGTCCTTTAATACCAAAACAAATTGGCGCTGCTGTCGCGCACGGAGCGAATAGGATAGTTTCATTGAAGAAATTAATAATCTTGAAATAAGATCAGGTTGGTCTTGCTTTTTAATAGTACCCATCTCGTACCTATCTACCGAAAAACATTTTTCAAAATTGTTTTTAGTTAATATACCAAATTCCTTTGTCCTCTGAGGTACCCACCTACAATTAAAAAAAAAAAGTTTATAACTTCAAAACCTAAATGGAACATAAAAATTTGTCTTACTAAGATAAGAGGTCGTATCTACAAAACGAATATTTTTAGTAAATGTGGGTAGCTAGATAAGTACGTCCTTTTAGTTTTTGCAAATAAGTTTTGCATATATTACTAACCTTTCCATATAACTATAGAAAATATTTTCCAATGCAAATAGGTCTCTATTATTTTGTCTTACAATAAAATAAAATGTAAGCTTATTAAACTTGTAAGAATTTTGAAATCAGAATTTTCGTAGATACGACCTCTTGTCTTAGCAAGGCAGAAGTCGTCTTTCCAAAAAGTCGTCATCCAGCATCATACATTTTTTTTTACTTCTATTCAAGTTTGTTTCGTGTTATTATGATTATAAATTTACTTATTTATAATAATACCTAACAAGAAGTGAACTAAATATTATATTATGCCTAAACTTCAAACAACATTTATTTTCTTATTGTATCGAGAAATATTATTTGAAGCAAACTCTGCTTTATTTTAAATAGTTGTAATCTTTCAAGTGTAGAGCTTTTCTTAAATGTAGATGATAATTTTTTTTGTGTGCATAAAACACCTAATATTTGTACCAAATACCAGCTAAGTTTGGTTAAATCAATTTATTTTGAGTCTGTAAATCTGTGGTAGCTCCATGTATACTCAATTTCCGGACACCCTGTACATACATTATGACATCTACCAACCACAGTTCATGTTTTCTATCCGGCTATTATTTTTTAGAAACATAAATCACTAATAATTCTGTCAAACTACTTCTCTGTATATTTTTATTTATTTATTAAGGTAAGATATGAGTACAAATCTGATATGCTCAACTTTCCTGTAAAATATACAGGGTGTTTCCCAACTTGGCGTCCAAATTTGTAGGGGTGGTAGTTCCCATAATTTGAGAGCGATTGGCATATTTTATTTTTCTAAAAAAATTATAATAAACAAAATAGAGCAATTATAAAAAAAATCAAAGAGCAGGTCCTACCCTGAGAGCGTAGCGCAATAGTCCACAAAAACAGATCCAATTTGCAAATTTCTCCCTCCGCCCGGCCGGTATCGAAAGGCGTAGCCGATTGTTTTTCTAGTGCGTATTGCTCGAGGCAATCCCATCGCTGTGCAGGACCGTACCTGTTTAAAATTTTTAATTATTTTTATTTTAAATATTTTGGAAAAATGAAATCTGCCAATCGCTCTCAAATTATGCGAACTACCACCCCTACAAATTTGGACGCCAAGTTGGGAAACACATATTTATATCTTCTTTGCTTGCGAAAATTTAAAATTTGTACTTTTCCTCAAATTTTCCAATATTCGAGAAATTATTTAGGTATATAACAACAATTATACCTATAGAATATCATTACAAACAACTTATATTTAAATAATTTTCATAACTAATAATAAATAACTAAAAAATTAATAGATAATTATGCAACAAGTGCAAAAAGTAAGTGTTTATTGCACGCGACGTGAAATTGTCAACACGTCGAGTGCAATAAACACTTTTTGCACGAGTTGTATACAATATTTTTTTACGTTCATGCAATAACCAAAAAATGTTTTATTTAGGCGACACTAAGTGCAGAAGAATAAAAAGCGTAATTTAATAGCAAAATATTTAATAACTGATAATTAGTATCGATTAACATTGAGAAAGTACTATTACTATGTTAAGAAAAATAATTTAACCAAAACTTTAGGAACAACTGTGTTATGAATAATAATTAAGCTTAAACGTTGTTTTTGCCACTAATAATAAAAGTAAATGTACAACTTGTACAATTTTCAATAATAACGTAATACAGTCTAACAGAAAATGAAAATGGACTAAATATTTGGTGTCGATTTGAATATTTATGTTTGTCATGATCATAAAACGCTGTAGTAAAATGACAGATGAGTGCAATAAAATATTTATTGCACTGGTGCAATAAAGAACCAGTTTTTTCACTAAATATAGTTCAATATAGTTATTTATGCAACAAGTATGTAAAGTTACCTTTTTTGACGAATGTGAATGTTAAAATGTGCCAAAAATTGTACACAGCAACAAAAATAAATTTATTGGAACTTTACAAATTTATAATTCTTACAGAACAAAATGACTAACAAATGAAAAATATTTAAAAAAATAGGTTTTTAACTCTTATGAATATTAATATTGAATGTGCAATTATTGCAATTACCAAAACTTAAGGTTTTGGCCTTTTCCATCACAGAGTTTGAAAAATGTTGTGATATTACTTCTGTAACCCTATTTTGAGCTTCAAGTGATATGGATTTGGCATTTTCAAGTAAAGAGGTTGAAATATTTTGTGTAACTCTAGTTTCACTGTCGAGTGGTTCCACTAATTCTTCATTAGAGTTGTCAACGGTAAAATTGTAGCTCTGTTTGGAAGTGGATGGCATACTGTCATCCATCAAAATTGTATTAGAAATTTTGTTTTTTTGTGTTGTTATGCTATCTACGTAGCCTTCTGCAACAGCAGATGATTTCCATCCTCCATGTTTTTTGACCGTTAGAAGGTTTCCTCCAGAATTTGCCAGCATAGTGGCCGAAGACCTCCTAAAGCAGTGTCCTATAAAAGCCGTTGGATTGGGCAAGTTTAGATACGTTGCTATAACACTTGGCATTTTACCAAAAGTATTTATCCCTACAGGCTGTTTAGAATATTTTCCATTTGCGAATTTTAAAAAAAAATCTGTTACAATTTATATTTGATGGCCTTAATGAGGTATATTTTTTTATGAAAGATAAATAATCAACTGCAGAATTATTTGGATTTAAAATCGTAAAAATGCGTTCTATTCCATTTTTGGTTTCTGATACTTTGACAATATACACTGTTTGTTTATCTTCCACATCGTTAATTGTCATTTTACATAATTCTTCCCGGCGACAAGCTCCTGCAATTCCAATTATAGAAGCTACTTAAAAATAACATATTGTAATGTTACAAATAATTTATTAAACATTAGGAAATATCTTGACGTTGCGCATGTAAAACTCCAAATAAATGCTATTATAAAAAATATAAAAGTTTTAGGTATAATGTCCTGCCTAACAACCCCGGTGGCCTGTTAGGATAGCAACTGATTTTGTTAGGCAACACACCATACGAACACACATCTCGTTGCAAAACTTTACAGAATATTTTAATTTTATACTGAGCATTCAAGCATTTACTGAGGCATTTACTTACTTTGATCATTCAAAACTTGGAATCTGGAGCTTTCAACAGAAAATTAATTAGATCTTCTCGTTCAAAAATTTTGGATTTTTTTGGTTTATAACCTTTTTTTTGTTTAAGAAACGCTATTAACTTGTTGAATTTCGAAATATCAACGTTGTTTTTATATTTTAAGGTGCTTTTAAGCATATAATAAATCGACCATAGGGGTAGAAGCTTTGCAATTCTTTAATTCATCAGAGAAATATGTTAAAATAACGTTTTCCGAATATTTTGTCACCTTATTCTTCCTACACCATTCTATAAATGCATTGTATTTTTGCTGATAAATATATGCAGATTTTTCTGGCAATAAATTTTCAGTGGCCTTTTGTGCACTGCATAAGATATCTGGGGGAGTATTATCAAATTCGCTATCGCTAGATAAATTTGAATCCATATCGATTATGACAGATATAATAAACTGCAAATAAAATTTGAATTTAAGTAAACAAACATTAAAAAGTAAAACTTTTTACCTTCTCAAACTTGATTGAGTTTAAAAAAATGCTAAATTGGCTTTAGAATCTAATCTTGAACTTAAGTATACTTTTGTCGTGTTCTGTTATAAGGTAGGTACTAATTAAAAGTTTAGAGATTGACAGTTCTTCTAATCCACACAGCCACGGCCAACTTACTTTTACCAAAATCGACATCCACTGTATGTTTACTTTTAATTAAATCGATGACATCTAGAGAAAATTATAATTAAAATAAACTGTTGATAATTTGTTGGACACTAAATAGATATAAGCAAAAATAATTTATTTATTTGTCTTAGAAGGAGATAGCAAAAAAATGTTAATATAAAATAAAACGTTATATTTTGTTGTTATGTACAAATTTTGTCAAATTTTACTTTTTTTAACCAGTACGTAAAGAGTTTTACTTTACGCACTAGTGAAAAAAAGTACAACTTTACACACTTCGTGGAGTGCGTAAAGTACGTACTTTGCGAACGGTAGTAGAAAAAAGTTTTTTTTTTTTTGCATGAACGTGGACAAATTAATTTTTAAAAGGTAATCTTATTTAATGAGTCGTGTAAAAATATACTGGATTGTTTGTATCGCTCGATTGGCTAACAAACTACTATTTTTAGCTTCTTAGCTTTTTAGCTTTCTTCTTGTATAGGTATCTTTGTAACATAACATCTATTAAATTGTTTTCGTCCTTTTATATAAATACATAAAATTTTATTTTTATTTAATCATACTTATATTTATTATCGGAATTTAAATTGAACTCTGTATGTTTGTCTGAACTTAATTCATTGATTAGAAATATCAGTAACCAAACAGTTTAGGTACAGTTAAAAACAAACATTTGCCTTTCTTCTGTTTTTAGAATAACAATAACAAAAGCATTAATTATCGAAATGGTATTTAATCTAGATGGTAAAGTGGCTGTCGTTACAGGTGGAGCTTCTGGTATCGGTTTACATTATGCTAAAGAACTTTTAAGGAACGGAGTTCAGGTATGACTATCTAATTAAAGTCAATAAAGCTTCATAGAATTTTTTATACATATACGGGTATAATGAAACCGTGAATATTTAGAGTCATTTAAGGTCAATATATTTTTTTATTCTGTCGAACCAGTTGTCAATGGTTTATTTAGAAAGAATACTAATAATTTCATTGTAAGCATTAAAAACCGAAGTCCCCTAAGTTTTTATTTATCTGTGGGCCACAGAAATAATCACGATGGGCCAAGTCAGGCGAATAATGAGGATGAAGTAACAATTGAAAGTCGTGTGTGGTAAAAAAGTCTCCTTTTCTGACATATGTATGTGCTAAAGTATTGTTTTTGTTATTGTCATGATGTCATTCAATTTTACACCACTACACCACTACTTGGATGCTTTCCTGTTAAATTAGCGAATACTTTAGGATCACGAACAATTACGTACTTACCACTATTAATTGGTTTTCTAATGCAATAATAGTAACATGCTCACTTTTATAGCAAAGATAAACAATTAATTTCTTACTAACAGTGAAATAATAACTATTTTGGTAGCAACTCACTGTAGATTGCTTCATTGTTACTATTGCTGTTACTGACACTAAAGACCGACTTATAAACTGCAGTTGCAGTTCCCGTTGGAAGTTAAAAATCTAATTTTATATTTGTGCACTTATATTCTCTGTTGCTGTCACCGTTTGCTGTTTCACATGATGTTCCCTGATGTTCTGCAGTTCTGCGGGAGTGCGTTTAGAAACCTCGCAAGGCGCGTCTGCACCCTATTCTAATGTATGTGGTCAGACGCGTCGTGCGAGGTTTCTAAACGCACTCCAGTTTACTGTTTGTGCCGTTCGAATCAAAGGCCTGGATAATATTGGAAATTTCCTAATGACTCCATTGTTTAGTTAATGGGACGTACCTTAAAATGCTGTATAAGTTATTTGCTTAATTGTATGTAAAGTAAACGAACATAAAAAAAAATTCCAAGAATACCTAAATACATATCCAAAATCAAAGTATGTGACATATCCCAACTCAATCAAAAAAGACACAGCTTATTGATGCAGCATTAACAGAATAGGAAAACATACCCCAAGACAATGTTGACAATTTAATAAGAAGCATGCCAAGGCGAATAGAAGCTTGCATAAGGGTTAGAGGTGATAACACAGATTGTAAAAATTACCAATTTTCTTTCTGTTTTTGCTTTTCGGCTGCTAAAAATTTAAATCTCATTTCGTTTCAGAAACCAAAAAAATACCATTGTGTTTATTTTGTCAACTAATTAATTATTTTTATTGCTATGTGGGTTATTTGTCTTTAAAAGTCTTTGGTAAGGACCGAGTTTTATTCATAAACAAAAAATGTTTATACATCTCAATAGTTATGAAAAATAATAGATGATTCCATATAAGTTTGGTTGTGTGTGTATATACTCAATGTGGTTCTTAAATTTTGTTTAATAATATAATACCTGATTATCTCACTAATTTAAAAATTAAAAATAATGTTTCAAATATTTCAGGAAAAAAATTTAATTCTGAATTAATAAGTTCTGAATACAGGTAAAATTTATGTTAACTGCAAAATTATTTAAAATTTTTTACACAATACTAATTTTTATTATTAAATTTCTATCCTAATATGAAAAACATGTAACTAATGCATTATAACTTGCTTAATAGTAGGTACTACTAATATTATCTTCTCACTACTTAGGGAGTGACTCTGGCAGATGTAAATCCGACGAATGGTGATATTGCCATTAAAGAAATCGATAATGAATTTGGCATAAACAGAGCAATATTTGTAAAAACTGATGTAAGGGATCGTCAACAATTGGAAAGTAAGTTCGCCTGTAACTAATTTTGAATTATTTTATTTAGTATTACAAAATTATACACATTTATAATACTAGAAACTGTGATCGATTTAAATCGATTATTATTGATTGAGACCCTTCACTGTAACACAACACTGTTTATAATAAAAATCTCTTTTAATTTATTTTTATTAAAGACATTCAATAACAAAATTACCTATCATGCCTTAAACAATTAATAATTCAAGATTATTATTCAATAGGACCCTTCACTGTGGTCCAATATTGTGTCTAATTTATATCAATGCGCTTTCAGCAACTTAATACTCCTTTGATATAGTGTTACTCCATAACAAAATCATGTATCATCAATCAATGCTTAAACATTTAATGACTCTTTATCAGTAAGGTGAGTGGGGGTGGGTTGCTCCAGATCACTTAGAGCTCACTAGGCCCATTGACGATCAACCAGGTGCATATAGAACTTGCTTCTTAACTTGTCAACAAACACCTGCTTGCAACTGGTTTATCTTTAAAACGTTCACTATCTGATGGTACACAACTTCTCTGAAGTCCCCATGAAAAAACTTCTACCCAACATGTACGTCGAGGGATGTTAGAGCCCAGCGAACCATATATGGGTCGCAAATTAAAATATAAATTAGGTAGTTTTGAAAACTGATTCCACCCCCTCATTTTTTTTGCAAACAATTACTCTAGGTTAGTTCGGGCTACGCACTCTTTTTACTCTAATTACTTCTAACGTACCTAAGGCATTTGAGAACGCAAGAAGTTAAAATAAAAGTTTCTTTTTGGCCGTTCGGAGATCATGGAGTCCAGTGTGGATCAGACATGCGCATAAGGTGATTTAAATCGATAATAAGATAATTGTGACCAATTCTTTAGTAAAAAAGCTTTTTATTTGGTTCCCGTGAAAATCATTAATATGGAAGAAACTTATACGGTTGTTACTGATAAGTACGATTCTTAGACTAGGTAATAAAGAGAGGACGCGTAACAAGTATATCCAGCACACGTAGTATTCCGTGCCGATTATCTATTGGGCGCCATTATTTTGGTGCTTATCATTTCGGTGACACCAAAGTTTTTGTTGGTGTTTATTTCAGTGTTAAAGTTATAGAGGCAAGAAATAGGCAGTATTACGTTATACAGGTAAATGATAAACATCAATCGTTTTCACTTTATATATTTTCTTATATTTTTCATTTTATTTGGTGTTATACAAGTTGGTATTTATATATTGTACGTGTCTCACTACAGAGTAATAAATTTTACCCACCAAGTTTGTTTATTTTATGCTTTTCATTGATATTTAAGCAATTAATGATATTAAAATGGCCAAACATGTAATTTTTTCCAGTGGCGTGTCGTACAATTCTAAATATCAACTTTTATTGAATCCAAATTTACTTTTGCTTCTTAATTAATTGCAGCAATGTCTATTTGTTGTTTTATTTTAGATTTCCTGTGGATCCAGCAAAAAAATCTTTGGATTCAGGCAACGAAAATTCCAAATTAGATGCCTACGCCAAATGATAGATAGTACTCAAAATATTTTGAAACATATGTTTACTAAATGGAGCAGTTCCCACTATATTTCCTGAATTCTCTAAATACATGCAACCGAAGAAGGTGCGTATACTAATAAACATAATTAAACATATATTTTTTTTTAATTACTTTTCATTATTATGTTATGAACTTTTAAGAATTTGCAACCCTTTTGTGTATAATTCAAAACATTACTATAACAATTGATTGTTTGTAGTACTTAAAAAGAAGATCTTTGCATTTGGAAGCTGAGCCTGGCCCTTCAAACAGAACTTCAAATAAGAAATCTATCCTAGAAAGCCCTAGCATAAAACGACTTAGAAGATAACTTTTACAACAGGTAGAAAAGAATAAAGAAAAAAAAAAACAAGGCAAATCAAAGTTTTTAAACAAAAAGTTAAAAGATATAAAAGAGTTGTTCGCTAAAACTTCTTGTTATTGTACCAAATTAGTATTAGTTAAGGGTCAGTAATAAATTTATCTTCATTTATGTATATACATTTTCTTACTAGCTTAATTTAATAATATCTAGAGAGCACACTGCATCTTATCCTACTTTCGTCCAAACGTCCTGGTACGTAAAACGGACGGTTTTAAGACGCCCTGCCCTGTTCAGGACATGTTTAAAACGTCTTTGTTGGGATGTTTTTAGGACGTTTTAAATATGTCGGTAATGTGGACGTTCAACTCTTTTCGCTATATTTGAATATGGCGCCACGATAGCGTTCTTGACGCTGCCTGCAGCGCATGTAGATCGTCATTCGTCATTGTCGTTGGCTGATTGGAGTCTCGTGCGCGCGTATCGAGTCGTGTTCTTTCTCTAGTTGCCTTCTTCTCGGGACAGCCATTGTATAATATTTTTAAAGTCAGTCTGTGGACATTGTCATTACTTTTTCGTGGTTGTGTGTTTTTTTATATATTGTCTTTTTATATTATTTATTTGCCATTATTGGAACTGTAGTATACCGGAACTAGTAAACTTTATCATTAAAAACGGTAAGTTTTAATTTATTTGCCTTTTAGTTTCATAACCTCACTTTAATAATGTCTTATTTTTTGGAATGACACCTTAAAACAATAACTCAACAAAATTATATGCTACAGAGACGTTAGTTACAAACGCTTTGGCTAAAACTAATACCATAATAGAAATTTTTAAATCGACCAAACTGGAATAGCTTCTCATAGCAACAAGTACTTGAAGTCATTTTTTAATTATTTTATCCAACACTGCAAAATAATAGAGTTAGTTTTAATAGTTTAATAATGTATAATGAACAGTATTAAATATAGTAGACAAGTATTCATTTATTTTTTTTAATGAATTTTTATCAAGTAAGTAGACGACTTAAGTCTTAAAGACGTACAAAATTAGATGTCCTAAAGACGCCTTGTTTTGTAATAAAGTACGTCCTATAGACGCCTTTAAAACATCTTTTGGATATTAGCGTAGATATTCAAAACGTCACGAACGTCGTGAACAAACGTATTTGAGATGTCTTTAGAACGTGTCTGTGCTATCTGGGTAGTGTCATTCTTTATTAAGTAAAAATAAATCTTTTTGTAATACATGTAGATCATTATGTTTTATTTTGCGGAATTTAAAAAAATACACTCATTTTATCATGTTAACGATTTCATTTAGTTTATTGCAATATATTTTTTTCTTGCATCTTATTTATTATAACTTATTTATTTTGCTTTATACCTAAAAAGATCTATGAAGTACTAATAACATAAATACAAGTTCGTTTTTTTATTTCCAACATGTTACGCCTTTGGTCAAATATCGTTGGTGTCCAAAGGCGATTTTAAATCAGATACTATGTCTTGAATATGATTGACTACACTGATATAAATCAAAAACAATGACGTCATATTAAATATTGTCTTGAAATAGTCAAGTTTAACATGACTACAGAGAGGGGCCCTATCCTCGGCTATCGTTTTCTAAAAAACGTATACGCTTTAGCAACATACGAGCTATTCGCTATTCTCGACATTCGTTTTAAAAGCGTGTACGCTTTTAAAACGGGTGTTTTACAGCGAGCGGAATTTTTCACACGTTTTTGATAAAACGTGCATGATTTCAAGGATTTAGTCAATGTCACTTATATGTCACTTTTAGGACGATTAATAATATTGATTGATTTTAACAAATTCTAGGTAAACTACTTTTTATTAATACCTACAAAAGTATCTAATTTCTTATAAATATGGTTTGCAGTACTAAAGAAGTCCGTTAGCTGAGAATTTCTTTCAATTATATTATCAATAATTGTACAATTAGAAAACTTAGAAGATAAGAATCCTTAAAGATTCAGACTTGCAGAGGCAGAATCCAGTTTTTGATTTTAACTGATATTGAATGAATATTTTTTATATCTTACCGTGTAAGAATTTAATTATTAATTCATGTATGTTTTATTTACAAATGTTAATTTGCTTGCGGTTCAAAGCTCTATTGTATCACACGTGTTGTATCCAGAAATTTTTACAATTTTGTAAAATTGCCACAAAATATTAAAGAACTGAATAAGATAAGCAAAGTTATTAGTCAAATGAATTTTTTACCATAAAAACTAGGTTTTTATGACGTACGATTTTCCTAGAATTATAGGTTGCATTAACTGCACCCGTATAGCTATTTTTACGCCAACAATTAACGATTCAGATTATCCTGAACATCGATATATATTATGTGATTAGAAAAATCATCGTTCGACAAATTTACAATTGGTTTGTTGTAATTAAATTACATAATCCTTATTCTTTTATGGCCTGCACATTACTTGAATTCAACGACATAGACAGTTTACAGTGATGCCAGACATATTATTTGCTTGTTAAAAACGTACACGTCTTAAAAAACGAATACTCATCGAACGTCGGTCAAGAATATAGATTTCAAAAACTACTCGCTTTTCAACCACTCACTTTCGAAAACGGTTCGTTTTTTTAGCGATTGTCGAGGATAGCCGCCCAGGGGGCCCTATCCTCGGCTATCGTTTTCTAAAAAACGTATACGCTTTAGTAACATGCGAGCTATTCGCTATTCTCGACATTCGTTTTAAAAGCGTGTACGCTTTTAAAACGGGTGTTTTACAGCGAGCGGAATTTTTCACACGTTTTTGATAAAACGTGCATGTTTCCAAGGATTTAGTCAATGTCACTTATATGTCACTTTTAGGACGATTAATAATATTGATTGATTTTAACAAATTCTAGGTAAACTACTTTTTATTAATACCTACAAAAGTATCTAATTTCTTATAAATATGGTTTGCTGTACTAAAGAAGTAGATTAGCTAAGAATTTCTTTCAATTATATTATCAATAATTGTACAATTAGAAAACTTAGAAGATAAGAATCCTTAAAGATTCAGACTTGCAGAGGCAGAATCCAGTTTTTGATTTTAACTGATATTGAGTGAATATTTTTTATATCTTACCGTGTAAGAATTTAAATATTAATTCATGTATGTTTTATTTACAAATGTTAATTTGCTTGCGGTTCAAAGCTCTTCTGTATCACACGTTGTGTCCAGAAATTTTTACAATTTTGTAAAATTGCCACAAAATATTAAAGAACTGAATAAGATAAGCAAAGTTATTAGTTAAATGAATTTTTTACCATAAAAACTAGGTTTTTATGACGTACGATTTTCCTAGAATTATAGATTGCATTAACTGCACCCGTATAGCTATTTTTACGCCAACAATTAACGATTCAGATCATCCTGAACATCGATATATATTATGTGATTAGAAAAAATCATCGTTCGACAAATTTACAATTGGTTTGTTGTAATTAAATTACATAATCCTTATTCTTTTATGGCCTGCACATTACTTGAATTCAACGATATAGACAGTTTACAGTGATGCCAGACATATTATTTGCTTGTTAAAAACGTACACGTCTTAAAAAACGAATACTCATCGAACGTCAGTCAAGAATATAGATTTCAAAAACTACTCGCTTTTCAACCACTCACTTTCGAAAACGGTTCGTTTTTTAGCCATTGTCGAGGATAGCCGCCCTGCCAATGTTATACCCATTGTGAAGTTAGTGTCAATACAAACCAAACATTTTTAAATCAGATTATTAGAACGTCATTATAATGACGTAAGAACCTTGACCACACTTGACTTGGTCACATTTCTAGTAACTGATTTAAAATCGCCTAAAATGGCACAAGATTTTCAGCGACGAGTCCTCTCTTTATTACCTAGTCTAAGGTACAATTAGATTTTAAGTACTGGTATGTCACATTGACAACTGTCATTGCAGTAAAACAAGTAAAATCATATGCTTACTCCGATTACGACTACTTACTACTCCGGAGTTCGCAGCTCGAACTTTCCTTCTGTGTATCGAACACTTCGGGGGACGAGCGTGTGCTACAGCGCTAGTCTGGCTCTAGCCTTCCAAATTGACAAATGTGTTGAAGTTAATTTTTTCAGACCACAGACCATAACTTTAAAAAATGGGCCACTTAACAGTGAACAATTATATCCATCTTCCAGGTCCATCCGTAGTTGTGGAACATAGTTAAGTAAAAAAAAAAACAACAAGAAAAGAACTAATAATTAGTAATTCTTTTCATGATTTCCATAAAGATGTTGTTGGGTGTTAATGGGTCTATTGTATTCTCCTGCTTTTTCATTATTCAGGTACTATCTTTGGAATAGTCCTGTGTCTTTGGTTAGCTTAAATAGGTTCCCTACCAAGTATTTCTGGAGCGGTCTTTCTGTTTCTGGGCCGAAAAGGATGAGACGCCGCCTAGTAAGAGCTTCGCATTCGAAGATCACATGGTATGAGGTTTGTTCCTCTTCCATGCTGAGCTTACACGTAGTGAAATCATTGTGTAATTCCATCACATGAAAGTGTTTCAGTAGTGCCTTAGTAGTCATGCATGGGATTTATCCACTCACTATGAGCTTACTGATTCTGTGCCCTCTTATCGGTTGTCAGTGAATTTGGTGTTTTGTGGTTATCCACCTCTTTACTGCCAGTCGAGCAGAGGTTCTGCTAATCCCAAATACAGATTCGGTACCTGTGAATACTAGTTATGATCCCTGTTTGGCAAGTTCATCAGCCTTTTCATTTCCTCGGACACCTGTGTGTTCTGTGGGGGTCGTTGGACAATGAACGTGTTAAGTTGATCATTAATTGACAATATATATTTACGTAACTTCGTTAAGTCGCATTATCTTTTATATTATGTGATTTTTAGACGCTTTTCAAAAAACAGTTGAAAAGTTTAGATTTTTCGATATATTGGTCAACAACGCTGGAATATTGAACGATGCAATTTGGGAAGAACAGATTGACATCAATGTGGTAAGTAATTTTTTCTATATCGTAGAATATAACTATTGGGAACGATAATACAGTATTGCCAGAAATAAACAGTACTGAACTTATATTTTTTTTATTTATTTAAGAAATAAATATCATTGACATTTTAGTACATGTTCCAAATGTGCATCTCCTCATTTAAGTTAGACTTCATAACGATGTTTTAATTTTAGGATGAATTGATCACACATGTATTGCAGACTTGCACCATTACGTTGTCGGCCGATTTCGTTTGAGCGAAAATAAGACTCTATTAGAAACATTATCTCCTCTGTACCTAACATCAGTCTTAACAATTAGGCCCTACTAACTAGTTGTTTAAGGTTTACTTGCCAGGTCTATACTAGCTAACTTGGGTATAACAACGGGCGCAAAGAGACACCGCCAACTTTGTTTCAGTACTGTTTATTTCGGGCAATACTTTATAATAAGATACATTACAGGGTAGCTGTTAAAGATGGAACCAAACCTATAGTGCTTAAACGGTTCAACATAGAAAACCCAAAATTTCAGAATTTTAAGTAAATATATTTGCGCATATTTTAGCCCAAAAATAATTTTTTTTATAATTACAAATTTTTAAGCATAACCGCCATTTTGATTTTTTTAAATAGCAACATAGGTCATGTGATCCATTTGAAAGAGTTTAACACCCTAATTACAAAAATGTATCACACATGAGGTCTAAACACAACAGAAAGGATATTTATAAACGTTTTTGTAAACTTAAGCCATTTTATTGAAGTAATATAATTTAATGTATTTTACATTTTTATGAAAACGATAATTTATTGTCACGTTATGCGTGTTTTTCATAAAACAAATGTCACAATTTACGTGTTTTAAATAATTGTGGGACTATCTATGTCCCGGGGGTTACATAACAAAATATATGAACTTGGGACTCAATCACATTAACACTATTTAGCCTTAAACTTGGCTTCGTAGCCCTTAACTGTATAAGGGTTCTACTCTTGATGTTAGAACCTGACACGTCTCTGTAAAAGGGCTGAAGGAAACACAATGTTTTCTCAAAACAAATATAATATTAAAATTACAACTATTATACAAAATATGTCTTAACTCGACATACACAAATACGGGCTCAATATAATAATAAGTAATAATAAGTACACAATACATAAAACGTAGACTTACCAACTCATCAATATTTGGGGCACACGTCACAACTCTTGCCCGACTATTAAAACGCAATTTTTCAACATACAAAATAGACTTTTAAATTAGACTATGAAGGTCTAAGCTGGAGCTGCTACAGGGAATCTCCTACAAGGGGGACCTCCTATGGGGAGGATCCGTTCCCTGTGGAAAAAAGCCTCGTGCATCCCCTCGACATAACCTTTATAACTTTCTCCTCGTTTATTGTTATTAAAACTAATGTTTAATAATTATTAAATAACCAACCTTGCACATTATTGCTATTTAAAACAAATTGTTGACATAATTAAACAAAGTTTTATGTACAGGATGTTATTTAAATAATTAATTAAAATTAGGAAAAATATGAATTTATACGAATCGTGACATGCCCCCCTCCTTTCAAGCGTCGCCCCGACGCTTAAACAATGAAATTAATATCTATCACACATAATTTAAATAAAGAAAAAAGTTATTTGGGGCTTAAGGTTGGAGTTGGTGCGGTCTAAAATATATATAAGATTGAGTTTTTTTTTTTTTATTATTACAATAGTGACTCTACAAATGACAAATATTCTAAAAAATTCTAAAAAAATTCTAAAAAAAATCTAAAAAAAATGTTTAAACTCAATCTTACTCTTTCTAATTCTAAATATACAACCATTATTTCCACATATCTCTTGCGAACGTCTTTCCACACAAACACTATAGTCTCTATTTGGAATGGACCAGTGGGAGAGTCGTCTTCGGGCCGGTGTGGTGGAAAACATCTCTACTTGTCATAGAAAATCATCGGACATCTCCACATATCAGGTATCTCGCCGTGGGTACTGTGGCGAATCAAGTCTTTCCAGCATCTTACATCTGGCAGTCATCTCATGGCATCTAGGAAATCATAATAGATGGACACCCATAAGAAATGTGTCCATCTTAAAATCGTCTTCACAATAAACCAACCCTTAAATCATCGATTTTATTGGCATCATTTACTTAGCTTCCATGGCATCTCCGGTACATATTTTTAATACCACATACTCATATTACAACACTGACCAGCACATTTTATAGTATGTCTCCAGTGTCAAGGTTACGGGTCGTCGTTTCTAATTTCGCATTACACACATCATTTATACTCCTAATATGTGATATGGCTGGTGGAGAGGTCTATTATGGACTATGACAAAAGTTTAGGTACTGGCCCGAATTCATCATCCTCACGTCTGGGGTAGGTGCCACGGTCCATCCAAAATCTTCGTTGTGTGGTGTCGCCCGATACATGGAACAAAGAAAGGCAGTACATGACTTATAATATAACAATCTAACTAAAATTCAATTTAAAAATTTAATATAAAAATAATATGTTTTTAATTGTGCTTGTCGAGAAAATTTAAATTTATTATATTACTATATTGGCCCTTCTATCTTGTTATTATTAGCTTTAGAATACCTATATATACTATTAATATGCTGATGTATTATTATTTTGCAAGACAAAAAAATTCTGAACTATATAAAAATTTAAGAAAAAATGGATTTGACATTATTTATTTAAAAGTGAATTGAAAAATGTTGTATGTTATTCTACTTTTATGCAGGAATTACTTACTAGAATGCAATAAATAAGTATTTTTTACTTATTATTATTATTCAAATTTGACTTTAATATATTTATAATTTAAAAGCTTTTGTTGAGCTGTCAGGCTTTAAAACAAACAAATGTTATAAGAGTTAGTGCTCTATTGCTTGTTGGTAGACTTGATTTTAATAGATTTTATTAACAAACTCATTACCACTTAGTACACTCATAAAAATTTGCTCGTCATTCAGCCATTCGTTAGGGTCATTAATTATTTTCTTATAGGTAGGAATTTTCTTTTTAGTACACATTTATTTAATATTAACCAGGGGCTAGGAAAACTCATACAACTCTCATTTATTCTTCCAAGTGTTCCTCCCCATTTAAATATCCGATATGAATTATCGTACAAACAAAATTACAAAGTGACCATATCTGTAGGGAAAACAACTACTCCCCCGGCTATATGCCGACGACGGGCATTAAATTACATACATGCAGAGAAATAATTCACTTCAATCTTACATTGCACTCATATTTTTCTGTGTAGTTTTCAATATATTTGGGGAAAGGTGAATTTTCAACTGTACTACAGTCATCTTCCGAATTCTCCTGTCCCATAAATGTACGTACAAACGTACAAAACCACGGTGTTTTTTTTTTTTTACCATTTTATTAGCTTATTTTCAAGCTCCACATTATTTCTTCATTATCTCATATTTTTTATGAAAATCACTATAAATGTGCACAACTTTGTACACATGGTATTGCCTTAAGTCGGCAATTTCAGTCTCCTTTTGAGACTTTATGTCTATATTGTGGGTCATAACAAAATTAACAACTTGTTTTAAATTAATTTTTTATTTTGACCCTATTTCCTACACATTTTAATTTTATATAATTATTTTTGACCCTTATTGCGCTCTATAACCTTCCACTCGATTTAGTGGCAATGAGCTTGAACATACTAGATTCATTCAACTGTCATTCTGACTTCTATTCCTCATATATTTTATAAAATGATGTTACTTGCTTTTTTATCTATACAGCTCGTAGGATGCGTTTCAAATTTTTCTTGCAGTAATTTCGACTCTTGCTGGGTTTCCAACTTCAAATTTTGTGGTTTTACTCTTCAATATGGCCCCTTCAACATTTTCCAGTTGTTTTTCGTTTTTCCAGGACCTTTTTTGAGCTTTTAAGTAATTCTGGCCAATTTTCACTTGAGTAGTTGATAACTTATCTATCAGCATAAAAAACATGTCATACTAGGTACTAATGTTTATAACTAATCAACCCTCATAAACCTATATAAAAAGAACAGTTTATTTATTTATTTATTTTTTTTTTTTTTTTTTTTTATAAAGTACCTTTCTGTTTTTATATATAATATGTTGAAGATATCGAAACCCTTAGTGTCGATGTAGACATACATGATATAAATAAAATTAAAAAACTAGAAAATACTTATCAATTTAAAAGAACACTCTATTACTGTAGTATCTGATACATAAAAAACTCTACATAGGTTTAAAAACCATGAAAAGAAAATCAGACCTATCCTATCAACACATTTTTAGAAAGTCCTATTCCAAAAATACCCCTATTTGAAGGTATCTATATTCATAAAAAAAATCCAGAATATACGCAACTTTACCAAAAATTAGTTTAGAACAAATCAGTTATTTTGTAAAAAAAAAAAAATATTCATCGGATAACATATAGGTACATTATATTTTAAAAGTCAACTCTCTAAAATTATTTTCAAATACTCTTAGCATTTAATTTAAATCATTCTACAAAGTCTAATCTAACTGACGACCAACAACGCAATATTTAATATTATTGCCTATACAAATCAAGACCTAAACCTGTCATCGACAATCTCCTAAATTTCATGAAACACATTACGGGTTAGTTCCAAAAGAAAAATTACCTGTAGATAACTCTCACTCTTTTAAAATTGCATATTTCGGACACAGAAGAAAAATATAATTTAATCTATCATTTAATAAATTATATAAGCAGCAAATATCTTTTCGATTTAAATAACTATATTGTAATTCCAAATTTTATAAAAAAATCGAAAGTCTTAACAGAAATTTGAGAGAAGAATGAAACAAAAAAAGTTAAAGAGATGCTAAATGAAAACGAACTAACACATTGTATGAAAATAATTATGAAATTGCGAAATAAATCATCCGTGGTCCATAAAAAAACCAAAGATATAGGTATCAAAAATTAATAAAGGCAACTTATAGAAGTAGAATTAAAGAATCAAAACGTTTAGAAATAAAATGTATTGCGATTAACACCATTCAAAAATGAAAACTCAAAGACTGACAATTTGTCTAATACCTTTTATGATAGAAAAAACTAATACACATTTCTTTTAGAAAATTATTACCTCTAGAAGTAGGAAACGTCAAAGAAATTTATAACACAAATAAATACAATTTACATTCTAGCCGTAGAAAAAAATCATTACCTACAGTAACACAAAGATATCTCTTTTTTCATAACTAAATATTTTGAAAAATAGGTTTTTAAACATAATTTTACGAAATGAAAATTTTATTGGACCCAATAAAACAAAAAACATTAAATAATCTGTGCTTAAAAATATAAAAAAACAGCATTATTACAAAAATATCGAATTTCGATGACCCAGTTAATAATTACTTGTAGGTATTATTAAATAAATTATGAATCTAAATAAAAATATTCTTTTGTTTAGACTTATTAATTTCAACAACAAAACGATATTTAATCCATGCGAAATAATTATACATGACCTACTTATATTTAATAAAATTATATAATTCGAAACCATATTTTTGTAATATAAATAAATATTAATAAATTTCAATTAAATTTAGGAATCTTTTGTCCATACTTGTGTATAAAAATATATGCATTTTGGCGATTGATCAAAAAAATAAAAAAAATCTATATTTCTTTTTTGAAAACCACTGTGCGCCCAAAGAGACAAAAACTTTTAATTATATAAAAATACAGTCACTATACTCAATAGAAGGAATGAATGGGATAAAAAAATATCAGTAATATAGATTCTCCAATCTAATACCAAATACAAATGGGGAAATGTGCTAAAAATACACAGCTAAAAACAAGAACACATCAGAATCTTTTATAATATGCTCGGAAAAAATTGTGGTACTTGAGGGTTCTTATGAAGAAGAAAACCTCGGGAATGAAGCTAGGCGCCTCCACCATGTCACGTTATGCGTGTTTTTTATAAAACAAATGTCACGATTTACGTGTTTTAAATAATTGTGGGACTATCTATGTCCCGAGGGTTACATAACAAAATATATGAACTTGGGACTCAATCACATTAACACTATTTAGCCTTAAACTTGGCTTCGTAGCCCTTAACTGTATAAGGGTTCTACTCTTGATGTTAGAACCTGACACGTCTCTGTAAAAGGGCTGAAGGAAACACAATGTTTTCTCAAAACAAATATAATATTAAAATTACAACTATTATACAAAATATGTCTTAACTCGACATACACAAATACGGGCTCAATATAATAATAAGTAATAATAAGTACACAATACATAAAACGTAGACTTACCAACTCATCAATATTTGGGGCACACGTCACAACTCTTGCCCGACTATTAAAACGCAATTTTTCAACATACAAAATAGACTTTTAAATTAGACTATGAAGGTCTAAGCTGGAGCTGCTACAGGGAATCTCCTACAAGGGGGACCTCCTATGGGGAGGATCCGTTCCCTGTGGAAAAAAGCCTCGTGCATTCCCTCGACATAACCTTTATAACTTTCTCCTCGTTTATTGTTATTAAAACTAATGTTTAATAATTATTAAATAACCAACCTTGCACATTATTGCTATTTAAAACAAATTGTTGACATAATTAAACAAAGTTTTATGTACAGGATGTTATTTAAATAATTAATTAAAATTAGGAAAAATATGAATTTATACGAATCGTGACATTATAAACAAAATAAATTAATAATTAAAATAAATATTACCTAACTTGCAACTTAATCAACAACAAATGTTATTGTTATAATATTTGACGTCTTGTGTCAAATGCACAGCTTCATATGCCCCCTATTAATAATATCCCTTCTGTTGTGTTTAGACCCCATGTGTGATACATTTTTGTAATCAGGGTGTTAAACCCTTTCGAATGGTATATCACATGACCTATGTTGCTATTTAAAAAAGTCAAGATAGCGGCCATGCTTAAAATTTTGTAATTATAAAAACAATTATTTTTGGGCTAAAATATGCGCAAATATATTTAGTTGAAATTCTGAAATTTTGGGTTTTGTATGTTGAACCGTTTAAGCACTATAGGATTGGTTCCATCTTTAACAGTTACCCTGTACATCAATGTAGGTTTACAAAAGCTAATCAACAAGAGTTATTAACATATATTCAGAATACTATCAAATATATCTTAACAAATGTATCAATAAGGAAAAAATCCAATAGGTATCGATTTCTCTTAATCTTATGAATTGGATTGTGATTTAATTATATACCAATAAGAAAAACAGATGAATAACAGCAAATTCCAATAAGTAACTTCTTAACTTATTCTTATGCATTGGATTGGGATTTCATTCTTTCTTCTATCAAATTTTTTTCGATATACATAATCGCTTCGTGCGTGACAGCAGCGCCAATTCATTTATGTACTAATGGACTATTTCTGCTTATACTGACAAATACAATTTTTAATAGAATTCGTAATTAAAAAGTTTATATGTTAATTTTAATAAAAGTATATGGATTTGTAAAACAAGTAAAACATTAATTTATTATTATATATTATTATCGTTTAAATTAAAAAAAAAATTAAGTATAATCAGCAAAAATCAATAATAAAATATAGGCAGGCAACAACACTTACGGGAAAATGTATGAGAAGTTGCCTAAGTCTAATAAGTTGTCTTTAAAGAATTAACCTATTCTGTCAAAATAAAAAAATACCAATAGAGTTAAGTTAAAATGTATAAACAGAAGGAGTGTTATTTATATTTTCATTTTTGTTCGAAAGAAAACATAGAATAAATGATTAAAACTGGTATCCTATCAAAATTACATTACAGCCACATACAATAATCAAAGGCAGAAATCTTAAAATCTAGTCCTTGCTGAATGAACATTTAAGAATAAAGGGATATTGAAGAACATCATCAAATGATAATTTATTATTTATTTAAAACCTTTCTGATGGCTACTATTTCCAGTATTATTACAAAAATAAAGGTAATTTTTCTTCTTATTGTACACTTATCCATTTATTTCTTTGCTACTGAAAGTTTTTATAATTTTCACTGTTTTTTTTTTGCTAATTTTAAAATTTTTAATACAGCAACTCCGGTTGCTTATTGTATTGTTTTTACCTACTTAAAAAAAAAATAAAAGTAAAATGTATACGGTATTTGATATGCCAAAATTACAAAATATCGCCCTAAAATGCACCAATTATCCGCAGCTAGCACTAGTATTGCTTTTACTTTCCCTACCATGACTTCGCACTAAGCGAATATCTTGCTAATGTCTTTATCTATTTAATTGATATTTCCTACATTACCCATTTTTTTTTATTTGATCTAATAATGTTTTCCTTTCTTTTTTTCAGTTTTCCATTATTATTTTAATTTTAGAAAATCGTTTGTTTAACAAAATATTTACATTGTTTATTAACATAAAGTATTTTTTCAAAACAACTTTTTAATAGAGTAGAAATGACGCTATTAACAAACGTAAACTATAAAATTGAGACGACTGCGCATGCGGATTAAACAGGCTCTGTAACATGCACGTGGCGTAAACAAAATAACCTATATTTTTTATGCTTTAATAACTTCAACTCAAATTTTGGGCTTCAACGTAAAATTTATTTTTCTGAGTTTACGTTAACGTTACCGTTAGCGTACATTAGAGAGTTTTAGCAACTGTACGTTAGATTTCCGCTAACGTTACGTTAAACTTAGATTGTGACCTTTTTCATAAACATTGAACGGAGTAGATTACAGTCTATCCCTAAGGTAACGTTAGCGGATGGTTAGCGGCTGTTTGCTAAAACTCCCCATTAAATATCTTAACTCTTTAATAACTATTTTATTATTTTAGGTTCCGTTTTTTATATAAGCACATTTTTTTAGAACGGTACAATCCATGGCATCCTGTTAGCAATCGACGACTTCTTCCCGAAATACAAGCAAAGTCATGAAGGTGTAATCGTTAGTATTGCATCAACAGCAGCAGTTGATTGCTACGTCCATATTCCAATTTATTCAGCCACGAAGGCTGCCATTGTAGCACTAACAAGAGCCTGGGGAACGCCAGAAATATACGAAACAAAGAAGACGAGATTTTTTTCGGTGGCACCAGGGGTAACTTTTACCCCTCTGATTTTCGATATGTATGGTAGAAATTTGGGCCCTGTCTACGAAGAATATCTTCGTAATCACTTGGATAAGGGGTTGTGGCCGTCACAAGAGTAAGACTGTTATGGTTAAATTTTATAAATAATAATAATATTTATTATTTGTATAAAAAAGAAATACAATGCTAAATTTGGGTTAAATTAAGTTGCATTAAACATTAAAAAAAAATAGACCAGTAGGTAAACAATTTAAAAAAGTTCTACAGTCTGGTCCCTTATTTTAAAAAAATACAATACAATTTATTTTAATCTAATATTTAAAAAAATTAACATCATACATCATACAAAAATAATTAAGGGACCAAAAAAAAAGAGGTACATGCTTTTAAAAGTCTTTTATTTCTTAAGTTATTTAAAATATTATTATTTTTTTTGTGAAAAAACACTCCATAAGGGGCGTTTATTAATATTACCATCTGATCAAGAGTTGATATATGAGTAATTTTGTTATAACCTAACTAAACTAGGGTTTCAATCTTAAAAACTAAAGTTGTACTCTCTAGTATACCTTAGGATCTGATAACTTAATTACACTAAACTAAGGTGTAACACTAAACCGCACAATTCTTTGCTTTGTTATTAAAACAATCACTTTTGATTTCACTCTCTTGAGTATCCTTGTTTGGTAGGTTCGTATTGTCAAGAAGCTGGATCGCCTCAACATTCACATGTTGGTGGAGCCGTTGTTCGTCCTAGCGAATCTGGTGATAGTCTGGTCAACAGTGCCCATCTAAAGATCTCGATGAAGGTCGCTATTTCTAATGTGCGAATGAGCATCGACAATGTTCCTCAATACTTTGTTCTGGAATCTCTGGATTATTAGAATATTACTGTAGCTGGTACAATCCCAGAGCTGAATGCCATAGGTCCAAATTGGTTCGATAACTTGTTTATAAAATATAATTTTGTTATATGTAGATAATCTGAAATTCCTAACGAGTAACGAGTACATTTTCTTAAATTTTATATCTAACTCTTGTCTAATCTTTTTAACATGGACCTTTCAGCGAAGTATTGCATCTAATGTAATACCTAGATATTTTGCCGAGTTAGCATAAGGGACCTGGGAATTATTTATGTTAATTGGTATCCTTAGACCACTTTTGTTGGTAAAATTAATATTTGTTTTCGTTTAGTTTAATACGCCATCTTTTGGTCCAATTATTTATTTGATTACCGGATGTTTCTAGTTTATCAGCAGCCTCTTCTTGATATTTGCTTATCGCTAGGATGTCAGTATCATCTGCAAATGTAGCTATTGTGTCTTGTTCTAGTTCGGGTATGTCACAAGTGTATAACAGATACAAAGTAGGACCCAGGACGTTTCCCTGAGTGAATCCTGCTTTACTTACATCATGTTTTACTCTAAAGAATCTATCTGAAATATATGAATCTAGTAGCTCTGAGTATGGTTGTGGAAGTAGCACATTCAGTTTATGTTTTAAGTCATTATGCCATACTTTATCAAAAGCCTGCGCAACATCGAGGAATATTTCTTTGTTTTCTAATGCTTTTTCAATCGCATTTAAGTTTCTATGAACCTGATCTATAGTTGAATGGTTTTCTCTAAAGCCGAACTGATTAACTGGAATTAGTTTCCTTTCTTCAATGATGGGTTTAGTATTTTTTCAAGAGTTTCAATATTATAGGCAATAGAGATATTGGCCTATATGACGAAACTTCGTTTGTAGGTTTTCCTAGTTTGAATTAGATATTAAACAGGTGTGTAAGTTTAATTATGGCTTTCTTCGGAAATTGTTTTAAAATTTCTTCTGTAATTAAATGAAAGGATTAATATTTGTTCTAATTTTTTTGCAATTTCCTTTGGAGAGGTTGGTCAGATAATTGTGTCATTTCTTTCTGGATGAGCCCAGTTAGGTAATTCTTCTCCTTCATTTGGTTGAAAGGTATTTGGTAAGTGCTCTGCGAATCTATTAACTTTTTGTATATTATTTCTAGCCCAGCTGAGATCTGTATTCCTGATTGGAGCAATCTGCACATCGAGCCTTTTCAATTGCTTTGTGGCTTTCCATAGAAAACAATCAGTGGATTTATCGTTTGCCAACTCACTAAGGTACTCAAAAATATTTTTATTTTTTATTTGTTTTATCTCTTTTTAACTGCTGGGTGGCGTTGTTAAGCTTGGTTTTATCTGATGGAGCTCTGGTCTGATGCCATTTCTATTTATAGAGATTAGGTCCTTGGCTACATCCCCTATAGCTAGCAGGATGTCCTTTGCCGCATCTTTCGGTTTTGCATAATTTATAGTTAAATGTTTTCCTGTGCATCTTATACATCGAGGCTCTTTAACGCAGTACCTTTGAGTGTGTCCGAATGCTTGACACTTTTAGCATTGAGGTGTTAGCTTGGATTTTCTGAGAGGTACAATTTCTACATGGACTCCCATAATTTCTCTGATTCCATATATTTTCCCAAAACTTTCGTCGTGTTGGAATGTAAGCATGAACATATTCAATGGTAGTTTAGTCCTATATTTTAGTTTTGGAGTAGCAGAAGTAATGTTAAAGCCACGAATTTTCAAATCACTAATTATATTTTCTGGTTCGCAAGAGTGGTGCAGTTTATATGCCATTACTTTAATTGGTCTATTCTGTTTGTCCTCATACAAGTACCAAGTGTACTCTTGTTCTGTTAATGCTCCAGACAGCATTCTATATTTTGGTCCTTCCGGAACGTTATTTTTAACATAATTGTCGTTAATGACTTTAATTTGGGAGTTTGGGATTTGTCTCAGGATACTATAGAATTTATTAATGTTTTGGACGTTATCCACTATGATAGATGGTGATACCTTAATTTTTACAGGTTTTTCTATTGTAGTGCTGTTATTTTGTTTTTGTGGCTGTGGTTGTGCAGGTGTCAATAAGGTATCAATTTTTCTTTTTTTCCTGGTTTTCACGCGGATCTACTCAGTTTTTTTGCCAGATCTTCTTCATAATTAAAGTATTCAGTGGGCTTAGTTGCATTGTTTATATTGCTAGCCATCCTTTCTTCTATTCCTGTATATATTTTCATTAATTCATTATCATCATTATTATTATTATTATTATTATTATTATTATTATTATTATTATTATTATTATTATTATTATTATTATTATTATTATTATTATTATTATTATTATTATTATTATTATTATTATTATTATTATTATTATTATTATTATTATTATTATTATTATTATTATTATTATTATTATTATTATTATTATTATTATTATTATTATTATTATTATTATTATTATTATTATTATTATTATTATTATTATTATTATTATTATTATTATTATTATTATTATTATTATTATTATTATTATTATTATTATTATTATTATTATTATTATTATTATTATTATTATTATTATTATTATTATTATTATTATTATTATTATTATTATTATTATTATTATTATTATTATTATTATTATTATTATTATTATTATTATTATTATTATTATTATTATTATTATTATTATTATTATTATTATTATTATTATTATTATTATTATTATTATTATTATTATTATTATTATTATTATTATTATTATTATTATTATTATTATTATTATTATTATTATTATTATTATTATTATTATTATTATTATTATTATTATTATTATTATTATTATTATTATTTTTTTTTTTTTTTTTTTTTTTTAATTGGTGTCATCGGCGTCGACTACTACGGCCATTAGCCTCGTGTTCTGTGTAGGCTTTGTTACTGTTTCCCAGCGCCACTTTAGGAATAGCACTGTTAATTAGAACCCAACAGTGAATGGTCGAGTGGGGAAATTATTATTATTATTATTATTATTATTATTATTATTATTATTATTATTATTATTATTATTATTATTATTATTATTATTATTATTATTATTATTATTATTATTATTATTATTATTATTATTATTATTATTATTATTATTATTATTATTATTATTATTATTATTATTATTATTATTATTATTATTATTATTATTATTATTATTATTATTATTATTATTATTATTATTATTATTATTATTATTATTATTATTATTATTATTATTATTATTATTATTATTATTATTATTATTATTATTATTATTATTATTATTATTATTATTATTATTATTATTATTATTATTATTATTATTATTATTATTATTATTATTATTATTATTATTATTATTATTATTATTATTATTATTATTATTATTATTATTATTATTATTATTATTATTATTATTATTATTATTATTATTATTATTATTATTATTATTATTATTATTATTATTATTATTATTATTATTATTATTATTATTATTATTATTATTATTATTATTATTATTATTATTATTATTATTATTATTATTATTATTATTATTATTATTATTATTATTATTATTATTATTATTATTATTATTATTATTATTATTATTATTATTATTATTATTATTATTATTATTATTATTATTATTATTATTATTATTATTATTATTATTATTATTATTATTATTATTATTATTATTATTATTATTATTATTATTATTATTATTATTATTATTATTATTATTATTATTATTATTATTATTATTATTATTATTATTATTATTATTATTATTATTATTATTATTATTATTATTATTATTATTATTATTATTATTATTATTATTATTATTATTATTATTATTATTATTATTATTATTATTATTATTATTATTATTATTATTATTATTATTATTATTATTATTATTATTATTATTATTATTATTATTATTATTATTATTATTATTATTATTATTATGATCAAGACAAGCGATTCTTTCAAACATATTTTTTCAGACTTTTCTTAGTATTAGGTGGCCCACAAATTCGCATGCTTATAAAGATTCAAATTAAAAAAGTAATTTGTCTCAGATAGATTTTGATGCCTGGACAAGTTTTTTTATGTGTTGTTTAAATTTGTTTGGGTAATTACGATCGCCAACACGTTTTATAACACTGTAATACGATGTCCTGTTGAGCACATAGTCTTGGAAGTAGTTGTTTGTGTTATAAGACGACCGGAAAGTTTTCCGAGTTAAAATCGAGATTGGAATTCTGCTGCAGCTACTATAAATGCTAAGGTACATTTTCTGCATTACCATTTAGATATATTTCCGAAAGATTTTATTAAGAAGTCAAAATAATGGGGGTGTGACCAACATATGATGGCCGACTTCTGTTGGAGCTCACAAAGAGATTGTCCTAACTTCAAATATAAAAGAAAATACTTTTTATAATTTAACACTTTTTTTCATTAGTGCGTAATTGTTCAATATTTCAATTTGTGTTATAGACATGCAAACAAGTTTTAAATAACAGTTATATTCTTGAATATATAGGGTGTTGCGTTTTTGCCGGGCAAATAAAAAAGTATATTTTTTAAACTAAATACCCTGTATTTTATTTTAAAATGATTTGGTAATACTGTATTTAACCCTAGAATTTGTTTTAAATATTACAGGATTACCAAACAATTAAATTTTTATGAAATTGGAGAAAGATGCAGTGCCCAAAATAAATTATCATAATTTAGGTAGGTTTACATTTATTTCAAAATCGTTTAGTATAGAGACTTATAAAATACTAAGCTAACGAATAGTGGTGATACTATATTTTATACTGAGTGTTTTAAAACATGTGTTAAATATGGCTAATTTAAAGTTCAATTTACTCAATTTTTAAAATGCAACATCCTGTATATTATTTTAGCATAAAATTACTTATGAATTTACCCATTTAACTGTATCAACATGTTAGCCAATAACACATATACAGAGTGTACCATCAGTGCGTAATTGATCTTAATTTTTTAAAAGGTAATAATAAATAATAATAATAAAATAAGGTAATAAACTACCTGCAAGGTGTTTTCCATTATAAATGTATAGGTTTGGTCAGCCCCTTATTTATGGACCACTCTGTAGATTTAGGAATAATTGTTAAATCATTATAAAAGTTGTATGACCACTTTTATAATGATTTTTTTTTTTGTATTTCCGATAATAAAACAGCTATAGATCAATTACGCACTGATGGTACACCCTGTATACGTGTTAATTGCCAACAAGTTAATATCGTTGAATAGATAAATTTATAAGGAATTTTATGCTATAATAATATACAGGGTGTTGCATTTGAAACAATTGAGTAAATTGAACTTAGTCTTATTTAAGACATGCTTCGAAGCACTCTCTATAAAATAAACTAGTTCTGTCACTACTATTCGTTAGCTTAGTATCTTGTTAATCTATATATAAAACATTTTTAAAATAATATGCTAATTTATTTTGGGTTTTACATCGTTCTCTAATTTCATGAGAAAATTAATTGCTTAGCAACCCTGTAATATTTTGAAGAGACATTCTGGGGTTAAATACAGTATTACCAAATCATTTTAAATCTGAAATAATAATAGTATATTATTTAACAAGCGGTAATGCAGGTCATAACTCACGCAGTTGAAGTTTGCAGCACGAGCCGCAGGCGAGTGCTGTAATTCATCAAGTAAGTTATGACCATTACCGCAAGTTGAATACTATACTTTATCTACGACTATAACAATAAATACTAAGATACAAGTATCGAGAAAGAATTATATAATTGACTAGATGATAAAAACGTTTGAATCTTTGTAAAAGCTATTACCTTTGTCGCCAGATATTTCTCATGAGGAGCTTCATTTGTGAAATTATTAAGTTTTTCTGGCATAAATGTTTTTGCCTTTTTAGCTATATGTTTCTCTGATTGACATTTAAGAAACGCACTTAATTTTGAATAACTCTCTATATTAATTCCATTATTTATGTTGAGTGTGCTTCTTACAAGGAGTAGAAAGTCCATAGAGACGATGCTTTATATTTATTGCTAAGTTCATTAAAATATGCCAAAAGTACATTTTCTGTAAACGAGTTACACCAATCTTGAAAAATTTTAGTATACACTTTTATACTTGTTTTTTGATTTTTCTCGTAATAAATTCTGTATTGCATTATTATCTCTCTTATTTCTGGAGGTGTACATAATAACTTATCTTTTTTAGCATTATTATTATTATTATAAGTTGATTTGAAAACGTCAAAATTATCTTGTTAAAATTTCAAATTACATTACTCCCCTCAATGTAATAATTGACTATTCCGCCTGCTGAGAGGCGTTGACAATTTAATAATTTTAGAATCTTTTATTATTCATTCCTTTCCAGTTGTTAAAAAATCTTTCTAACATTTTACGCTAATGGAACATTTATCGACATTAAAATTTCCAAGAATTTACTGCGCACACTATTTATATACCGAATTATTGTAGGAGCCCAGCGTGAGTTATAATAACTCATTATTATAACTCACGCTATTTGTTTATTGATACTATTAATTGCTCAAAAGCAGTTGAATAATTAATATATAAATTAATAGGAGTAGATAAAATATGTTTTATTATTATCTGCAGTTTTAGTTTTTAATTTCGACTGGTTGACTTTATCCCAAAAACTAGAGCCAATTCCCACTGTTATTTATCTATAGTCAATCCAAGACTTTTTACTACTTGAATGCAATCAAACTTCAAATACCATTTTACTTATTTTCGTAATTTCAACAGAACCTGGAATTCTATTATCTGGAATTGAGTTTATCTCTTTTTTTATTTTGTTGTAGACCTGACCATGTAGCCAAAGAACTTATGAAATTGATCAAATTTGCTCACAATGGCAGTATGTGGATTGTAGAAGGTGGAGATCCAGCCTATGAGTACATTCAAGCCGATCGATATGTACAGAAGAAAAATGTTTTGAAGACTGAATAAAACTAATAAAATGTACCTACAGCGTCTATTTTTTTACTGCTAGTAAATATTATTCAATGCACAATGGATTAATTTGACTGGAAATAAATACAATTTTGTTTATATTTATTTGCAATTTATATGGTTTTAAAGATTAAGCTACATAAATAATATGTTATTTAGAAAAAAATTTCCATGGGCGTATGCAGGAAAAAATTAATAAAAAAATAAAAAAATTAATTGAATATTACTTTAAGTTAAAACATAAAGATTAATTAACAATATGAAAAGCCAGGCAGGCGACGGTCACATCTCTGCTCCCATGCCCCTCCGAATGTCCATGTGAAGACCGAATGAATAATTAAATAATTCCCAATTCCTTTTAGGTACGAAATTATAAAAACTAACCCCCATATCCTCAAAATGAAAACAAACAAAAGAAAAATTAAAAAAGCTAAGAAATAAATAAATTCTTCTTAAAAGAGAATTTGTGTCAGAATGTGATTGACTTTAAATCTACGACTTTAAATGTCAAAATCCATGTGCTTCAATTGCCGAATTAATAAGAATATGGACGACTACAGTCCGAAGATTCAAGGTTCGACCTCTAGTCCATTTACTCGGGAAGTTTGAAATCCTATAATCGTATTAAAAAAAGATTTTTAAATTTTCTCGTTGGTCAAGATTGTCTATCGGTTGAAAGCGTAGAACGATAATGAACATGTCGTGAGTTCGATACCTGCTCAGGTCAAGAGATTTAAAAAAAAAAATGGTGTATAGCGGGTTGCAAAAATAGTTTTTAATAATATAAAATAGTGTGTGGTAAGTTGCGATTGTGTAAAAAACGGAGGGATGTGGTCTCATGTTCAGTATTCAACATCCAAATATAATCCAGAATTGGACGTTCTCGGAATGGTCAAAAAGGTGCCATTTGTATACTTCGCTGGATGCCCACTGGATGTTAGAAGTCCAGAACAAACTCAGTTTTGGACGTCCAGATATCCAAAATTGTATATCGAATGGACACCATTGGACCTATTTGTGCTGTCTGGGTGATACTCTTAGTTTTAACTGTTACTTACTCACTTACTACTACTAATTACTATATTTTTATTTTTCTAAACTTGAGTTAAAAACAGGCAAGATACTCATATTTGTTACTAATTTTTTCACGAGTACTTTCTAAAATTTACAAAAGTGCTTTGAGTATTATTCTTGGTACTCATACTCAGATACCTTTGAGTACTTTGTAAAATTACTCATTGTGAAGTACTCATGATTACTTTAAAGCAGTACTCTGCCCAGTTTTGATGACAATAAAAATATGCCCATAGTTGCAATTATTTCTTATTGATGGAGGTGGTGATCTCCATCAGATGTCTATAAATTGTCCAGAAGCAATACAAAAAGAGTCCATATATGGACCTTTAATGAAGTCCAAATGGACATTCAGGGGTGCATGTCCATTGGATAACCTTCGGTAAAATGTTGACTTCCATTGGACAGCCGATATCTCAATCAAAGTACTTTCAATTTCCAATATTTAAGCATATTTAGGAAAATTTATTTGAAAACAATCTCTAAATATAGCAGCATCTATCCAACTACTTGCTACAGAGATTTGAGGCGATTTAAAATAATTGAAGAGATATTTAACACTGTTCTTGGATTTCGTAATTAAATTTTACACTATAATTTTTCTAAATAACGTTTTTAAAATTGGAAAAGCTAAAAAGTGCGTTTTTATATAAAGAGTCTAGTTACGCCCCTGACATTTTTTCTATAACTTATTTCGTGTAATTAAAACATCTCATGTTTTAGACAGACTGATTTATTATATTAAATACCTATACCATTTTTAAATTATAAGATATTATTATTAAACGCAATTATTTGTGTTATTGCAAAAATGGACGTTTTTATGTAAAATATTACTAAAACATTAGAAAGTTTAAATTAATAAAATGTTATATCAATTGACCCAAAGCAAAATTTATGTAAAATACGAAATCAAAAACCGTAGCTGTAATCGCTAATAACAGTTTAGTAGTTTTTAAATGACATTTTACTAAATTAAATACAGTGACGGATTCAGCCAAACTTTATCATCAATTTCAAGTGAACAAAACATTGATTTCCAATTTCATTTATTTATTAAATGCGCAAGATAACTGATGTTGATTTCAAACAGGGAATGAGAGATACAATTATTTTTTCCACAATAAATTTACGACAAGAAAGCGATAAATTTTCCATATAAAACCTGTTCTTCATGCTCATTTTGGGATTGGTAGTGCTTTTCATCAAAATTGGTATTAACCGGGGTTTATTTTAAAAAGGGAAGAGCGACATTTTTTTTCACAACAAATTTACAAAAAAAAGCCTCAAATTATCAATAATATAAAATAAATTTTATGCTAAAGAGGAAAATCAGGACAAGCCGAATTAATAAAATGTATGTCTACTTCCTCAGTGTCGCAGCTGAGAAGCCTTCTCTGCAAAATGAGCATGTATCATATATGCAGTCTCTTTTGTCACCTATTGCAGATTTTACAGTAGATTAACACCTACAATTCTAAATGGACGTTCTGAATGTAATTAGAAATATAAAAGTTCAACGCTTCTCTGAAACTTCGAGTCAAATAAATGTTCACCACTTAAATTCACACAAAGAATATGCAGCTGGTACAATTTGATGCAAAATCAATACCGTTCCTCTAATATTGGTCCTCTCTCCTATTTTCTTACACCACAATCTTATCAACCACCTACATATTTACCATAAACTGTTATTTTTGAGACTTTAATACAAAGTGTTGACCCTTATTATACTTCCCAATCAAATACCGACAGCCTGTAAGAAGAAGACATAACAGTGATTCCCCAACTCACGCTTCGATGTCCTAAATTTCATCTACTTCATCTACATTGAATAATTCGAATTATATGATCCGTTTGACTTGTAGTTAAATTAAAATTGTTTGAATAAAAATTTTTAATAAAGATTTATACGACTTACCTTAAAGTTACTATTGGAGCATTACGTAACTTGTAATACAATTCATCAAATGAGCGTATGCTCATACAAACGTAACTAAAAAATTTGTTGAATCAGTAGAGCTTGAAGTGAAAGCACCTTTTAATAAACGGTCACTTAAGTAAGGATTTACCCAGTATTTCCTCTACTACTCAACAAAATGTTTGGAAACAATATATGCAAATGTAACTTTTTTTTTCAAAGTTACATCCATCTTTTCTGTTCTCAAGACGAATTTACACTGCCCTGTTTCGGGACAGAAGACAAGAAGCGTTGTGTGTGAATTAAAAATTGCGTTGCGTTTGTGCTAACGTGACAACGCAACTGCAAAAAATGCGCGTGAGCACCGGCCCTAAGAATAAAGTATCGTTGGAATAAAGATCCGGCCTCACGAATGTTTGTAGCAGTCGCGTCGACGCAACAGCGTTCGTCGGGCAGCGTCTAAATACATTCAACAAGTCAGAGGGTTAACACGATACCACTTCGATGTTACGTCAAAGTTATGGAAGGTCATTAACGCGACTGAAAAAAGACCACTTGATGCCACGTCTCAGCTTTACATCGGCGTTGCAAATATATATTAGTTTGTATCAAGAAGTACACACGATAGGGGTAGAAAAACATTGTAGCAATGGGCGATGAGCAATTCAATACATAAAATTATTCATAGAAGAAATAAAGGGAAATCCCGAAATTATATTTAAGCATTACATGCAGTGCGTCAAATGAGCATATACTCATACGAACATAATTAAAAGAAATACATTCCGCATTGTATATATCTTAAGTCAAAAAGCTTGATGTCAAAGCAACTTTTAACTTTTAGTAAACGGGAACTTAAATAAGGAGTTTCCCAGTGTTTCCTCTTCTTCCTCACAAAATGTTTGTAAAGAAGATATGCAAGTATTCATCTTTTCTGTTGTGAAGACGAATTTACTCTGCCTTGTTTCGGAACAGAAGGTAAGAAGCGCTCATGAGGAATAATCTTAAATATCGAAAGAGATGTGAGCAATACACTTAAGGGCAACTGCTTCGTAAACTAAGATGCTGTCATCTACTGAGGCGGGTGCACTTTGCCGATGGAAAAACCATTATTTTCGATCACAAGACATATTTTACTTTAAGTAATTCTGAAATGAAAGATGGAATTTATACGAACGACGAAGAGGAATGGCCTGAAAATGTTAGGGACAAACATAACGTGATATTTGCTAATAAAATCCTTATCTGGTGCGCAATTTCTAACAGGGTTTAATGGTCAGATCTATATTTATAACTGCTTTTCCAAATTGATTCAGTTAGTCCATGAACATCGTGCCATTAGATTCCCAAAACTTGCTTCGACAACACCAGACACCTTTTGTTTCTAAAAACGATAGTCCTCCAAACTTATCGCAGGCTGGCCCAATGGAATATTTTTTGGCTTTAATATCGTGAAAAGTTTATCATGGAGGCTGGAAAGTCAAGGAAGAAGAACAAAAAAATTTACGAAAAACTAAGAGAAACTGATTTAAATTCCGCCCAGAAACTTATGAGAGACATCCGGCGATATTTGCGTCTAATTCGATAGTATACTATAGTTAAGTATTGAGTTGTAGATTATAATAACTAATAAGTAGCTTACATAAAATTAAAATGCCGCAAGAAACCTTAAGCGCCTGTGAATAAATAAGTAAATAAAAATATTGTACACTTTGATTATAGTACTTTTAACATGTCGTTCAGTAGAATATCGGATTAGTATATATTTAATTATTACCTAAGACATGTTTAAAGGAAAATATGTAGAAAAATGTATTGCATAAGTAATGTAAATAAATTCAGAAACAAAAAACGACCCAAGTGAAACTTAAATGGGAGGCATAACGTAAGTGAAATACAGGGTGATATCTACCTAACCTCCACTCCCGATTTTAGGTCTAGGCAAGTGATGTACATTAGGACAGGCCGAAAAATTTAAAGTTAAAATTTTAATTTACTATAGCATTTAGAAGCTGCGTTTCATTAAAAAACTGCTTGTATATTTTTCACTATTTCAAAATTATATTTTCAACCCTCTACCAGCCCCCAAAATAGCTAAAAAAAAATTAAATTAAAAGATAATGTTAAAAGCTGTCTTTAATCATACACACTGGTTGTTATTTTTTTCGAAATTTTAGGAATATGTTTTAAGCCCTCTACCACTT